GCTAAAGGACCATGTTCGCTGACCCAATGAAACAAAATAATATAAGTTACAAAATACCTTGCGATGAATGTGAGTTAAGTCGACTACATAGGTCAAACTAATAGGTCAGGGGTAGTCAGAGTGTCGGAACAGAAGAATTTAGCTTAGGTAAGAATGGTTGACCCCACCCGCGAAGATAAGTAATTTCGAAAAATGCTCAGCAATATACTGCACTGTACACAATACGGTGAGAATGAGAGGGTTACAATTCCTAAAAGTAATCTAGGTAGGTGAAGAGAGAGGTTGATTACTGAATCCTTCCTGGTTCATCGAATCTACACCCAACACATGCAATAGGAATGATTCATCACTCATACCCGAAATATGAAAAATACTACTACCAATCAAATCAAGTGAAAAATAACGGAACTATATAAATGAATTTAGGAAGTCGCGTGATTACCTTGATATGATTATGAGGAGCAATAAATTGTGCTCAAAACGTTGCCATCAGTAAACATTACTGTATAACAACACTGTGAGACTTTATCAAAACAAAATTTACCCATAATGGAATTAGACTCTATCACAGTGCACAAGTTTTATTCTTATATCAATGAGTACGTAGACTGTTCACCCATTGAGATACGATCCAATGACCAGCGCATGAATTCCAACTTATGTCAGTTCGACATATACATAGCACAGCCGCCAGTCAATGTCACTGGCAAGTAACTGTCTCCTAATCTGACAAAGTGTAACCCGACTGTCAAGATTTCTCATTAAAACTCCTAGTAATTTCATGAATGACCGTCAGAATAATGAACAAATGTTGGTCTGCTTGAATTTGATTGGTTTTTCGAGGTTTGATCACATCCTGTCATCAGTTAGAGAACCATTGAGAAACCCACATGAAGTTACTGGGCAGCTGTTTCATCCTAGATTTGGTTCATAACCCTGGTAAGTGCATGATGCAGAGGAGATGTAAACAAGCAAGGAAAAGCTGTCCAGTACTTCAGTGTGATTTTCCATTAGTTCTTCTACTGACGTCAGCTCTGCGATCAAATATACAAAAACCTAATTTGCGAATAAACAGATTATTATTATTGTTATGATTTCAAGTTTGACCAGGGATTGATATCAGTTTTGCCCTAGTTTGGGACTCATCGGCAGCACACACCCATCATCAGGTTTTGGACCCAGGACATTACATTTACAAGGCAAGCTCTGGTGGTTACACCAAAATCATGAATTGGTAGGAATTAGAATTCATGGGTTGGCCATTGAGTCGCTTCCCAGTGGCCGAATATTCTACTAGTTCGCCTTGAATCCAGAAGGTCCTGGGTTAGAAACCTGGTGGTGGGTGCGAAATGCACATTAGTCCCAAACTAGGACGAGGTGGCAGCTGTCCAGTACTCCAATACTAGTTTCCAATGGTTCTCTAACTGATATCAATCTGTGATCAAACTTGGAACAAATGTGCACTGACATTAAAACGACAAACACGAGGAAAGTTTGACCTGACTAAACCAAAGATAGAAGCCCTAAAATACCTTAAGAATAACAAGGATATGGTAATCACAAAATCAAACAAAGGAAATGCAACAGTTGTAGTACACAAATCAGACTATTTGAACAAGGTGAACACTCACATACAAACAGGACCATATGAGGAAATTAATAAATCAATAGACACCGTTATGAATAAGGTTAAGAAATCCACAGCGGACCTCATACGCCGAATGAAGGCGTCTCTAGGTGAGTCTAAATGGTTTAATTTAATGCCCAAAACTAATAACCCCAGTAGGATGTATGGTGTTGTTAAAGTTCATAAGTCAGAATACTCTATTAGACCTATAGTTGATTTTAGAAATTCACCTACTTATGAATTATCTAAATAATTAGCCATGGTATTATATCCCCTTCAAAGCCATTCAAAATCTAGACTGACAAATTCTTAAGAACTAAAGCATAGATTAGATAATTTAAAATTAGATAATGAAGAAGAAATGGTTAGTTTTGACATTGTCAGTTTATACACACGTATACCAATAAATATGGCTATGGAGGCAGTGAGAAACGAACTCATTTCTGACCAATAACTCGAGCTTAGGACGAAAGCACCACTTGAGGACATGATGCTGGGAATGCAGCTATGCCACAGTATTTAAATTCGAGGAGAGAATATACAAACAATCTGAGGGAGTTGCTAAGGGATCACCAATATCCCCAGTTGCAGCAGATATATTCGCGGATAGGTGGGAAAACGTAGCGATTGAAACCTTCAGTCTCACCCCAAAAAGTATGATGGAGATATGTAGATGACACATTCACTGTATTTAGAACACAGAATATAGATAGATTTTTCGAACACATTAACTCAAAGGTGGAGGCAATCCATCAATTCACTTATGAATTGGAAAGTCAGGAAGGGGAACTTCCAACGTTACATTGTAGCGTGAAAAGGAAAGAAGATGGGAAGTTTAACACTGGTGTTTACAGGAAACCCAAACATTCAAACTGATAGTTCAACTTCCGATCATCCCATCCTCTGTCAGTGAAAATAGGATTAGTGAAATGTTTAAGTGACAGAGCACAAAACTGAGTAGTACCAAGGAAAATCTAAGACAGAATGTGAGGCATATAAGAGCAGCCTTGAAACTTAATAATTACTCTGATACATTAGTCAGAAATTATGTAGGGAAATGTAAAAATGAAATAAATAATAATAGTAATGATAGTGATAACAATAATGATATTAATGACGTGATGCATGTCAAACATGCTCAAGATAATGACGACACCAACATTAAGGAATCTAAATCATCAGTAGTAATTCCATACAAGGAAGGAACCTCGGAAACCACCTCACGTAGAATTCTTAACAATGCTGGCAGGAATAAAAGTGGGTGGCATTCAAACACACAAACTCAATTAGAAACAAGCCTTGTCGGTTACAGGATCAATCCTGTGGAGCCAATAAAACAAAATAATTTAGTTTATGTAATACCTGCCTGCAATGATTGTCAGGTCAAATACACAGGTCAAAGTAGTTGAACAAGGGCAGTCAGTCTAGTGAAGCAGCATAAACACCTGGCAAAATCTAGATTAGCTGATCCGAATAAGATGAGAAATCTGAAGAATGGTTCAGCTATACTACTCACTACTTGCAATTACACACAACACAGCCATACAATAGGATGACGGGATAAGATGAAAGTTTTAAAATCTAATTAAGTAACAGGATGGAGGGAGGGAGAGATTGATAACGGAAGCCTTGTTTATCGAATCAACTGCAAACGCGTATAATAGGAATGATTGAAAACCTATCCCAGATATCTGGAAAATTCCACTACCCCAATGATGACAATTAGGAGAGAACAAAGAAAAGTATAAAACTCAAGTTTTGAAGTCGTGTGATGATAATCGATATCATTATGAACAACGAATTGTTTTCGAAACTTTTTCATCCAGTAAATAGTAGTGTTTCACTGGGTCATACATCTAATAAACAAACTAATATGGAATTACTAACTACCACACAGCCAAAGTTTTACACATACATTTTCTGTCCTGTTTATAAAACTTGATTTGTTTCAGTTAAACGTGACTCATCCTACCCCACCTTTTGCCTATTTTATAAAAATGTGTTTTTCTGTGATTACATAACCCATTACTTTCTATACTCTTTCTAGTTAAACTTTATTTCTACCCACAAAATAATTGTTGAACTTTGTCCTTTTGTTTCCAAGCTTAGTCATGCAATTCTTCTGTAAAAAGTCGATCCTTTTCACTCTTAATTATTCAACAACATAACATTATTTCTGACCACTGTTACTCTCAGTTGCAATTAATTAATCACTATCACTGTAAAAATGTATGTTCCTATCTGTAATTCAATTTATGATTTGGGTATTGTATGGAGGATTTCATCATGAGCTGACATCAGTTAGAGAACCACTGGAAAACCTGGGAGTACTGGACAGCTGTTTCGTCCTAGTTTGTGACTCTTCATCAGTACGCACCCACCGGGATTCGAACCCAGGACCTTCTGGTTACAAGGCGAGCTCGTAGACCATTGAGCCACTGGGACCCGATCCAATGGTCCTTGAATTCTAACTTCTGCCAATTCACGACATAGCGCGACCATTTCGCAATGTCTTCTTAGATGAGTTACTGTCACATCTTCAACCTGCTGTACCCTACTGGTCACAGCTGTCCAGTACTCCCAGGTTTTCCAGTGGTTCTCTAACTGATGTCAGCTCAGGATGAAATCCTCCATACAATTAAACAAAATCCCTACCAAACCAATACTTGAAGATTTGGGTATTGTTCAGGTTGCAAGCACCAGTTGAGAAGAATCCACGAAACAATAAAGAGGAATATATGACCTCAGATTATCCTGGTACATTTGTCGTTCTCCCTTTATTCAAATTTATTAATGGGAAGAATTGTGCGAAGTTTTTCAAAGAGAGTTAATCATCTCCCTATATGGTGTGAAATAGGACCAGGTAGGCGTTTGGTCATATCCACTCTCTAGAGTGTGACTGGAATCGCCCTTGTCATAAGTTTTGTATGGAATGACTGACTTCAGAGTGGGGGAACATTTAATGATCTCCATCTTGAACCCACGATTGTCCATAATCACTCATCTCCTCCTCACTGACTGTGTGATACATCTAATAAACAAACTAATATTTAATTACCTACTACCACAGTGCCCAAGTTTTACACAGACATTAATTCCCTACAAACGAAATCTTCAAAATTATTATTATTAAGTTAAAGTGCGATAAAATTAAACAAAAGGAAAGAAAGTTTATATGATGAAGGTTTTATTGATTGTTTCCATTCATGCATAGCATGTGACTGTTCATTTGTACATATAAGTAATAAGAAAACGTAAACATTCAGAGCTGCTGACCATCTCAAGAACAGTTCTTCACTTTTTTATTATTCTGTAAACGCATATCTGAATATATCTTGTGCATGAGAAATATGACTCCACAGTTAGGGATGATTTACACATCATGCAATTGACGAGTACTTTCTTCCAGTAGACGATTTCGATAAACTTTCCATTCACGATAAATGCTTAACTTTGATTCTAATTCTTCAACTTTAGGAAATGGTTGAACCTATTTTCAATGTAAAATATATCAAGAAATTAACAAAAATTACATTGGTAAGTAGTTAAACAATTTATCAGGCATTTAGTAACAACATGACTATTGTAAGTGGAAGAGAATGAAAAGTCTGGCTAGCTAGCTATCTTTGATCATAGGTGTCTGAGTTCTATCTCCCGTGTTAAGTGGTAATAATAAGGTGAGTAATTTTGAGGTTAGGCGTTAGTAGAGCGCTAGGTAAGGAAGGGAAATCAATCAATGTGGTTGTGTAGTTACACCGATTGAGATGGTTAAGACATGTGTTACACATGCATCCGCGGACGTCGACTGCCTTCCTCGATGGGTAACATTAGCTGACATAGGATTAGGTAGAAAGAGAACTAGTGGTGGTCAAACTGAAACTTGCAATCAGTCTCCGAAGTCCTTAATAGTTAGTTTGAGCTAGCCACGTAAGGAGGTTTTGACTTCCTGACTGGTCGGGGTCCTCGGATTAGTAAAAACCAGTGAAGGCTGGAGAAAATTGGTGATACGGCTGGAAATCGTTCTCAGATGCACCCACTCTTTGTGATTTATGATATCCAATAGAATTCTACCGTTATTCCACATTACTATTCTTTTTCCTTCACTCACACTTCTATTTGTTATCTCTCTTTTGATTCTTTCTTTACTTTCTTGTCTTGATTTATGTGTTACATGAAGGGAGAGTGGCAACTCGAACTGCTGGACATCTGCGCAAAGTTCTACGTTAAAACCAGTCAGTCAGTTGGTGACACTATACCACACCAGGTTTCCTAACCTCTCAAATGTTTTCTCTTCCTGTACCTATGAATGAAGTACAGAATTCTATGGACCCTACTTCACATTGTATTGAAAAGTTCACCTGAAGTTGAGAAGATAGATAGATGTGTAGAAGTAATAGAATATTTTAACTTATGATCCTTTATACTACTAGCTGACTGAAATAAGTAGATGGTTACCAGTCACATCGATCAGTAATGTTTGTTAGCCAGACCGAAGCGATCTAAATACTGAACGACCGTTTCGCAAATTCGGTTACGAAAAGGGAAGAAACTGGGGTGAAATTTCATCTCCTCGAACTGTGTAGATTACAAACACCCACCCCATTTAATTTGTACACCTGATTACCACTGTTACCGACCTGATTATTATATTATTGTTTCCTTTCATTCCTAGAGGAACATAGGGCTTCAGCCGTGCGTCTCCATTGCGTTCGGTTCTCCGCTAGACTCTTCACCTGGCTCCAAGTCTGCCCACACGTTTTCATCTCCTCTTCACATGACCGCCTCCAAGTCACCCTTGCACTGACGACCAACTTGCCGCTTACCTTTCGGATTCCACTCGAGCAATGGCTTGTCTAGTGATGTCACTTGATGGTTTCCTCAGAGTATGGCCAGCCAATCCATCTCCATTTCTTCCTGCTTATTTGTTTCACAATCGGTTCCTGGTTGGTTCGCTCATTGCCAGAGATCTCTGTTGCTGATCTTTTCTGGCTGGCCATCTGATCTTGAGTATTGAGCGAAGACAACTGTTAATAAAGGTCTTTGTTTGTCTGAGATGCTCTTTATGACGCGCCAAGTCTCTGATCCGTATAATAGCACTGACTTCACACTGGAGTTGGAAATCCGGATCATATTTTTGATGCTGAGTCCTATTACTGACCTGAACAACACTCCATTTCTAGTCATTTTTGTTAAGTCATCCAATTTATTTTTGCTCACTTGTAGTCCTTATTTAAATGACATTATTCTCTACCCCCTCTTCTCACTCTCCACCTGTAATTACCTCTGTTGCTATCCTGACCTAAGCTGAAGCATTTTAGTTAATTGTATTACGTCATCTAACTTACTAACTCAATCTTACTTTAGTTGCTGTCTAATTAACCTTGCTTCTATATTAGATCATTCTTGTAATACCTGATTAATTATCTTAACTTGACAAACCTCATGTACACACACGCACAAATAATTATATATAAATGCGATTGTGAATGAATTTGCCGCTGAAAAGAGTCTCTTCGCTGAACATCTTCTCTTTTCATATGACTCAATGCGGATTTTTAAGCTACTCTTTAAACTGTGAATTTGATTTATGCTATTACCAGTTCGACCAAGTAGCTAAATAGCCAGGCAGAAATCTCTTGGTTTGAACTGATTCATCTATTCCTCTGAGCTGAGTTGTCAAACCAGGTACACCGTTGATAAGCTCAGCCGCAAAATGAGCGAAGAGGCCATCTTAATTGTATTCAGGTCACCTCGATATGGCTGGCCAACAAACATTTCTGGGTGATATTGTAACAGCAGAAGTCAAGACGCAGAAGTCACACCGCTATTTATACATATACAGTTTATATTTGATTATATTAGATGGTTGGAGGCAATCGACAGGATGCCTTGGACCTAGGTTTCGCGCTAGCTGGCGCTCATCATCAAGGCGTATCTTCGGCCTTGAAGGAACTCATGTCCTTTCTAACGGGCTACCTAGAATGGTGGCCACATTGTAAACCTGACTGATAGGAATCAGTCTGCACCAAAGAAAGGACTAGACACATCACACTAGTTACTAGTGTCCAATCAAAGTACAGTTTTATATTCTTTAACCAATTACTGAGCTTGTGATTTTGGTTTACATTAAACGACATGAAATAGAATGTTCAAATACAATAATAGTATTATGTTGCTAAGGCTGTATTGAACTGTGGGAATATGTGATAATAATATTCCGTTGGAACATATTGTCTGAATCTCACCACCACAATGTGAATGGTGCGGAACTACTCATCTCAGTTCATCAGTAGTATATTGTTACGTGCAAACAACACATTCATTTGTCAAGTGATTGGGATTTACTGTGATTTATCAATGAAAATAAACTGTGAATCATTTAAAAGACAAGCAGGGGATAAAGTTACCCGATAATCAACCATTCGCATTTATATACAACCAGATATGAGCCACACTTGTTGTGTAAGAAGATCAGTGATGCTACTTGGCTATCCAAACCTCGGTAGGTGGAAAGTGGTTGGATCCCATGACTCACTAGTTGGAATTCGACTGTGTAGATCAATGGAACACATAACTCTTCACCTAAAAGAGGTGAAAGACTTAGACTGATCTGAAACCACGTGATTTTTGTCTAATACTTGTTTGCAAAATGGTTTGTACAGTCATTGGATATACAATGAGTTAAACCGGTGTAAACATTTTGCAGTTTTTCTCAACCCGCCTTTTTTCCATTCTTTTGCCTTCTGAATGAAACATATGGCGTCAAGCTTCAAAATTTCAGTAGCGGGAATGTTGTTTTTATGCGGTAGGATTCCTAGCCTCACGCTCAACCTTCCATCCATACCGATCTTATTATCGACTAGGTGGTATTTAAGGTGCGTGTTGACTGGGTATCGAACCCTGACCTTTTGCGTGGCTATCGAGCATTCTGCAATGGATCCACCAAGGCTGTTGTATGGCATTATCACATATCTTTTCTCGCGAGGTTTTCTTAACATTGCTGTTTATGAATTCTTTAGGATAATCACTGATTGCTTTTTGTTCTAGCATTTTAATAATGATGGAAATGACTTTATTTCAAACAGTACTTTCATTCAATCAGTGTGCAGTTATAAGCATGTAGCACTGTAACGATAGGAGACAAGGGTCAGGCAACAGATCCTCTATTGAGAAAATCAAGGGGTATTCATATATTTTTATGTACATTATTATTCATTATTATTAGCAGAGAAACAGCGTCTTCTGATTGGTTGTTTTCCTTCTGAAGGTTGTTCTGTACTGCTTATGACCGTTTCTCAGAAAGTTAAGCCACATATCTGCGAATCGTATTTGAACGCGTTAAGTTTGCTGTGATTGGTTGTTGAGTTCCTCAAGGTTAAGCTTTGTTCTTGTTTTTTCTCATGAATGTGATTCGGGATGTAAACATTGATATAAATTGTTGTCTACAATTTTGTCTTGCTGAAAGCTTTCACCACAGTACAACGTTACATTTAATGTTCTCTTGACGCTACATTTTAAGGGAGGAAAAAATTATCTGTATGGTGTGTGCTACTGAAAAGGTTTATCAGTAGTATAAAAAGACATCGCCACACAAAAATATCTATTAGCGGAGAGATAGATTTGACGTCAAAGAGAGAGCAAATGAACCAACCAGTATTGTGGTAAAACATGCGAGGCACCAAAACAAGACAAATAAACACAATACGCAAAGGACAGAAGTAGCACGCAACACGGGAGATCTGTGCGAATGACGACTTCATATAAGATGTACATAATTTCCTCATATAGAGATATCAAATTTTTTCAAAAGGATGGTTACTGAACAAAGAATACTCTCATCGATAACCTCTTCTTCATCAGGCTCTACAGTTATATTTACATTATAGTGAATGAATGAATGAATTAGTGTTATGAACAACATTAATGTTGTTTAAATGACATCGAATCTATAATAACAACATCAATGGGTTACAGTTTGTTAGCATCAACATAAGAATACAATGAATATCAGAAAAATAAAGAGAAACAATAATAATACAAATTCATGAATTTATAGTCTCTACTGAAGGTCGGTCAGGGCAGTAGTAGTTGCTGGACTTGCTTCTTCTGCACACAGAGCACCGGTTATTTAAAGCGAATAGCCAAAGCCTCTGCTGTTTGGAGTATATGGTACCTTAATGTTTTTTGTAATACATTTTGTAATTTTCAAGTATTGGTTTTTGTAGGGATTCAGTTTGATTGGTTGGAGGATTTCATCATGAGCTGACATCAGTTAGAGAACCACTGGAAAACCACATGGTAGTACTGGACAGCTACTTCGTCCTAGCCTGGAACTCTTCACAGTACGCACCCATCGGGGTTCGAACCCAAGACCTTCTGGTCACAAGGCGAGGTCGCAGACCATTGAGCCACTGGGACCAGATCCAAGGGCCCATGAATTCTAACTTCTGCCAATTCATGACATAGCGTGACCACTTCGCAATGTCTTCTTCGATGAGTTACTGCCTTACCTTCAACCTGCTGCACCCTACTGGTCACGGTTTTTCACTAGGATCCCAGGTTAACGAGCTCGCCTTGTAACCAGAAGGTCCTGGGTCCGAATCCCGGTGGATGTGTGCTGTTGAAGAGTCCCAACCAATATATTTTGTACCCGGTAGATAATAGAGAAGGATTCTTCAATGCTGGCTTTGTGGCTGGTTTGGACCAGGTGGTCTAATGTTGACCTGTTAACGGTTTTTAATATACCTTTACTTAGCCACACTGGTAGATGTTCCCCAGGCGCACAAAGAGTCAAGCTCCTAGAGCGAAGGCCAATATAACTCGCTCCACCACAAGCGCAGCTGGGTTGTTAGATATAATTAGAAGGGGCTAGTACTTCGTTTGTCCTACTTGATGACATGCAAGAATATAGTTATGATTAAAGAGGGTTTTGAGAGTCCGACCAGAGTATGAGTTTAAGAGTCTATCTACAGCAGTATTAAAAGGTTTCTTTAGAGACAGCCCCACTTTCCGTATTGACAGCTTTAACTGCTCGTCGCAGTATAACAAAGTCTTTTATCGGCATTCCAGGAAAGATTAATGTGGGGTGGGAGAAGCAATAACGAAGAATAGAATTTAGAGACTGTTTGAGTAACACCTCTTTATGTAGAAGGCTAGACGAAACATTTTTCTAGAAAATTAAGATTGTGTGAGAAGACCAGAAAAGATCAGTGGAGAGACACAATCTAAAGTGACAGACCTCTTGAGGTTAATTAATCTATCAAAAGTTCGGCATATGTTGTTATATATATATATATATGTATATAAAGGATCTGTAAAGCTAGTTAGAAAGTCATGTAAGCAACCTGTGACATCATAATGAGCAATAAACTATGCTCAGAATGTCATCCAGTTATCAGTTAGTGTTGTAACACCACTGTCTTTTATCGAAAACTTGTAAAATATTAAATTATATTTTTACCATAACGTTCAAATTCTATTCCTTATACCAAAATAATTTCTAAAATAGTTGAATAATCTGTGAGTGATAAAAAGGACTTGAAACTGGTTACTTATTGGTTAATCGATTAACTGTTTTATTGATTAACTGACTGCCTGATCGGTTAACTAATTTTCAAGATTGATCACGAATTGATTTCATTTACAGCGCCATTAGAAACCAGGAAGTATTGAACAGCTGTTTCGTCCTTGTCTTAGACTCTTCCGAAATACGCACCTATGACCCAACCAGGAGTCGAACCCAAAATCTTCAAGCTATGCAGCTAGTTATTTAGCCATCCAGCCAGTGGTGACCAATCAAAGCAACCATTACAGTCCCCGTATAAAGGAAGGATATCAAAGGCCTTATGTAGAATTCTCTCAATTAGGCTGGAATTAGAGTGGGATTTAAACCAACCGACAAACTCTCTCAGAGATAAACTTTGTCGCCTTAAGGACCCAATAGATCCAAATAGGAAAAATAATATAATTCACTAAATACCATTTCAGTGATTGTGGATGAGGTAATTTATGTAGGTCAGTCAAACTAGTAGATCGGGGTTGACTAGATGGTTGGAACATAAAAATTTAGCTAGACCTAGAATAATTAACCCTGTTAAGCGAAGTTAAATAACCTAGAAAAGAGTTTAGCCATTGCTTTGCATTAACTTGCATGTAATCACACATGGATAGCGTGGGACAGGGTGAGAGTATTAAAAAAGTAATATAGTTAGGTGGAGAGAGAGAGAGAAAGGTTAATCATTGAAGCTTAGTTCAACGATTCAACACCTCACACGTACAATCGGAATGATGCAACGCCTATATTGGAGATATGGAAAGTGGCAACAAACAACAAGGGGTACATGGAGAGAGAGAGAAAGAGAGAAAATCAATATATATGAGACAAATTGTGAAAACGTGTGACTAAAATTGATATGATTATGAGCAGCAATAATTTATGCTAGAAATGTCACCCTCTTGTTAGTACTGTATCGCTGTGTGATTTTTAAAATAAACCTATCTAGTGTCTAGTCGGTCCTTCTATACCGGTCAGAAATTTGGTCAGCGTGTCACGAAAAGGATCTCCAACGGGTTGCAGACTTTTATCAACAGGTGTCCCCTTCGCTGGCTGCCTCCATACTGAACATCAAATAGCCAGTAAGAATTAGTAACAAGAAACTGTGGGAACAAACCAGCTAGGAGTCGATCGATCAACAAATATGTAGGAGAAAATGGAGATGAATTGATCGGGCACACATTGAGGAGACCGTAGAAAGAAATCGCGCGCCAGGCCCTTGAGTGGAGTCCGAATGGGAAGGGACGAATGGGCCGTCCTAGGGTGGAGGGTGATATGGAGGAGATCGTGTGGGCAATCGTGGACCTAGCTGAAGATGATGGCAGAAAATAGAACAAAGTGTAGATGTATTGCTGAAGCCCTATGTTCCACTCGGAACCCAAGGGAACAATTATAATGATGCCAATAATAAATATGGAACTACATTGTACCACAGTGGCCAAGCTTTACACTTATATTAATAGTCCTAGAGGAGGTAGATCGCGAGCCCGAATATCTCAGTTGTAGCATCTCTTACTGCAGCACTGGTTGAGACGACGTTCGAATCTCAACAGGGATATGAGTTCCTCCAAGATTTGAGATACCCCTTACTAACAAGTACCAGCAAGCATGAAATCTAGGTTCAGAGCTTCTTACCAATTTCTTCCAATTATCGTACATGAATTTTGATTTTTAGTGAAAGGTGCCTACTACTCCGTAGTTTCCAACAGTTCTCTGACTGAAATTATTTCATGATCAAACAAGAAATTATCCATCAAATCTCTGCTGGTGAATTACACGTCTTATTCTCTACGCGACCGATGGTGCTGCCTCGATTGGAAGATAAAGTCCCATTATGGGTAGATTTTGTTTTGATAAAGTCTCACAGTGTTGTTATACAGTAATGTTAACTAAAGACGTTTCGAGCACAATTTATTGCTCCTCATAATCATATCAAGGTAATCACACGACTTCCTAAATTCATTTACATAGTTCCGTTGTTTTTCACTTGATTTGATTGGTAGTAATATTTTCCATATTTCAACTATGAGTGATGAATCATTCCTATTGCATGTGTTGGGTGTAGATTCGATGAACAAGGATTCAGTAATCAACCTCTCTCTCTCTCTCCACCTACCTAGATTACTTCTTAGAATTTTAACCCTCTCATTCCCACCCTATTGTGTGGTTGTGTGCTAATGCATGCATTGCAATTGCTGAGCTTTTTTCTAAATTACTTATCTTCTCGGGGTCAACCATTCTTACCTTAGCTAAATTCTTATGTTCTGAAAATCTCACTACCCCTGACCTACTAGTTTGACCTATGTAGTTGACCTCACAGTCATTGCAGCGTATTTTGTAAATTATATTATTTGGTCTAATTGGGTCAACTGGGTCCTTTAACCTACAGAGCTTGTCCCTGAGTGAGTTTGTAGGTTTAAATGCCACCCCAATTCCTGCTTTATTTAGAATCCTACGTAGGGTCTCAGATGTCCCCTCCTTATATGGTATAACTGTAGATGACTTATATTCTCTCTTATTCATTTTATTATTACCAGTTTCACAATTCTTTTTCTTCTGGCTTTTTTCAATCTTCCTAATAAATTTTAAAGGATAGTTATTTAACACTACGCAGCTGTATGAATGAATTTAGGAAGTCGTGTGATTACCTTGATATGATTATGAGGAGCAATAAATTGTGCTTGAAATGTCATCAGTAAACATTACAGTATAACAACACTGTGGGACTTTATCAAAACAAAATTTACCCATAATGGAATTACACTGTACCACAGTGCACAAGTTTTTTCTTATATCAGTGAAAGATGAAGTACCTAGACTAGCCACTTCTAACTGTATCTACCAATTCAACTGCGCTTGTGGAGCGACTTATATTGGCCGTTGCTCTAGCAACTTGATTTTTCGTGCTCGCTCGAGAACATCTCCCACTATGGCTAAGTAAAGGTGTAGTGAAAACCATCAACAGTTCGATATTGGACCATCTGGTGCAAACCGGTCACAAAGCAGGCCAGCATTGAAGAATCCCTCTCTGTCTTCTACCGGGTGCCAAATAAACTGACAAAAACATCCAGTTGCCACATGCTGCAAACAGCAGAGGCTATCGCGATTCGCCTGAAACAGCCAGTGCTTTGTGTGCAAAAGAAGCAAGTCCAGCCCCTACTACTGCCCTGGCTGGCCTTCAGTAGAGACTATAAATTCATGAATTTGTATTATTATCTTTCCTAATGTTTTTCTGACATTCAGTTTATTGTTATGTTGATGCTATTGAACTGCAATCTATCAATATTATTGATTCGATGTTATTTAAACAACATTAATGTTGTTCATAACACTAATTCATTCATTCACTATAATGTATGTATAACTGTAGAACCTGATGAAGAAGAGGTTATCGAAAAGAGTATTCTTTCTTCAGTATCCGTTCTTCTGAAAACCAATAAGTGCAAAAATTAATTTCCATGAATATACTCACTTACCTTAGATCTTAACCAATTCAAAAAATTTGTTGGACAATGTTGAATAAAAAATTTTTTACTTATCGCTACACATTCTGCACCATCTGAGACCAACGAAACTGAAGTTGTCCCACCGAATGGTTCAAAGACAATGGATTCCAGTCCCTGATGGGAATGTGAAAAGACAATACACAAATGTTACCACTTTGAGATTCTATTAAATAACACTGATAAGATAAGGTTGACAATATTTATAACGTCGACAAGTTGTGGAATAGCATCAGTCGATTGTCCACATATGAGTTCTTAGGTAGTTCATATATGTGCTCAGTTTCAAAAATCTCACTACCTATGGACATTTGACTCTTTTCTGGAACAAGTTCTAAAATTTTACAAAATTGAATATTACATTGTAACGACAGATAATAAGAGTCAGGCAACAGATCATTTATTGATGAAATCAACATATATTAATAGATTTTTATATACATCATTATTAGCGTTATTGTTAGCAAAGAAGCAACGTTTTCTCACTGGTTGTCTTTCTGCTCAAGGTTATTCTGTCATTTCTTTGTGGCCGTTTCTCAGACAGTCCACACAGTCGCACATACAATTTCTCCTTGCAGACAGCTCTCACCACAACATAAACTTAATTGGTGTGAAACAGACATATTGTTGATACAGTGTTAACAACTGGATATTGACGTTTCGAGTAAAATGTATTGTTAATAATGGTACCTTTGATTGGATACTGACTAGTGTTATGCGTCTAGTCTTTTGTTTGCTTCAGACTGAATTCCATCACTTGTTTGGTTTTTAAGGGTTAGTTATGGTTTTACGAGTTGATCACGGATTGATATCAGGGTTAGGGTTATAAATCCGTGATCATCTCGTTAAAACATAACTAACCCTTGCTAACCAAACTATAGAAAATTAATCTGGAGTTCTAGTGAGAAGTCGTGACCAGTGAGGTCCATACAGATGTCAGGTGTGAGGATGGATGTCTCACCGAGGACATTGGTTGAGGTCGCGCCAAAGATCACGAATTGGTAGAAGTTAGAATTCATGAGCCATTGAATCGTGTCTCAGTGGCTGAATGGTATATGAGCTTGCCTTGTAACCAGAAGGTCCTTGGTTCGAACCCCAGTGGGTGCGTACTATTGTAGAGTCCCAAACCAAGACGGCACATCTGTCCAGTACTCTCTGGTTTCAGTGCTTCTCTAACAGTTGTGTTTGAAATATGTGTTGGGTGACTCGACATTATAGTGCCCTCAGAATTGCTGTTATTTTGATAGTTGCAAGCAGTCGTCAGGAGGCCTCGGACATGAGTTCCTTGAAGATTGAAGATACACCTTGCTGACGAGTGCCAAAAAGCACGAAATCTAGATCCAGGGTTTCTTGCTGATTGCCTGCGGCAATTCCATAACATTAATTTTGATATATGTATTAAATTTGGGCACTGTGGTAGTGTGTTCCATATGCACTTAGTGCAGTAGATTTCCACGTGGATTTCAGATTAATTCAGGTTTGTCTTGATTTTCCAATTGTGGTTGACTTTGATATCTGTATCTGCGCCGACCATGCACATGGTCTGGGGTTCGATCCCGGCCAATATACACTCAATATCAATGGTCGGCCTGCAAAATCGGGCAACCGATATCACATGCTGAAAATTCCATACTTGTATCAAAAATACTGTGTGGAGTCAGGCTATAACAAAAGCAGTCTGTTCTGCCTGACAAGATAAATGAAAGGGGTGACTTCTTCTAGATTCCTCCCATTGATGGTGGTTAGTGCTGTCGGTTGCTAGTTAGTTATTTCCACCACCGCTTTCTCTCTCTCCTGAATATTCATTTTAAGTCACGTCTCCACTACGTCTTCCTCTAACTTTTTCGTTTTCACCTCTAGATTTGTGAAGAATAAGATAAATATTTCACCAAAATCCATATCTTTCACGGTCTTTTTGTTGATCCAGCGTGACACTGATGTAAGAATAGAAGTTGTGCACTGTGGTAGAGTATAATTCCACTATGGGCAACATTTATTTCCATAAAGTCTCGCAGTGTGCTATACAGTAATAGCAGTAGCACTAAGTAGTACAAGAAAAACCTAAATGATGAAATAAAACAGATAGAAGGAGAAGAGCTGGGTGGTATTAAATAACTCAACTATCCTATAAAATTCGTTAGGAAGATGAGAAAAGGTCAAGGCAGAATAAAAATAATGGGGAAACTAATAATAATAACATAAATAAGAGAGAATATAAGGCATCTACAGTGGTTCTAGCATATAAGGAAGGAGGGGAAATCTGAGATCCTCCCCACGTAGGATTCTTAATAAAGCAGGAATTAGAGTGGTGGAATTTAAACCCACAAACTCAATCAGGTAGGACAAGCTCACCTCTGTAGGTTAAAGGACCCTGTCGGTTGACCCAATTAAACAAAATAATATAATTTACAAAATAACTTGCAATAACTGTGAGTTCGGTGAACTAACTACATAGGTCAATCTACATATTACATCGGGCAGGTCAGTCAGATTGTCTGTGAGAACATGAGAATTTAGCTGGGGTTAGACTAGTTGACCCCTCTCGCGAAAATAAGTAATTTAGAAAAAAGCTCAGCACTGCATGCATTAACAAGGTACAGTCACACACAATAGGGTTGGAAGGAGAGGGCTTGAACTGTAAGAAGTAATATAGGCATGTAAGTGAAGAGAGAGAGGTTGACTACTGAATCCTCGTCCATCGAGTCTACATATGCAACATATGCAATAGGATGCAATGACTCATAACTCATACCGGAAATATGGAGAATACTACTACCAATCAAATCAACCGATGAAAAATAATGGAATTACATAAGCGAAGTTAGAAAGTTGTGTGAGTAGTGCCTTGATTTGATTATGAGTAGCAGTGATAAATTGTGCCCGAAACGTCATCAGTAAATATTACTGTAGTTTGAAGAAGTTTGACTTGTACATGTTTAAGAAGACTGCTTCGTATTCTGTAGACGACTTTAAAGTCTGTTTGGGGGGTGTAGTTTGTTGTCCGGAATCTATCAGATATTCTAAGATGTAGCTGTGGGGATACCGTCTTTCTGCTTCGCAAAACCATGCTGGTAAGTGTCCGATCATAGGATTAGAAAGCGAACTCTGGGTACGGCCGACATACCTGGCTCCACACGAGCAGGTGAATTGTTAGATACACATTGATGAGGCCAGTCATCAGTTCACGTTCATATGAATCATACGCTTCGTGGAGAAGGTTAATCGTAGTTCAGCTGCGAAGAAGGTTTTCTTGAGTGAACGCGACAGTCGATTTTTCAGTGTTTCCGCAGATGAATCTCCATTGAATTGAAGGTTCATGTAGAGGAGTTTTTTCGGGACGCTAAGCGTGGGCAGCTTTCGCGGTCTAGGGTTCATAGATTTTGCAATAAATCGTCCTGGATAACAATTCTCGACGAGGATTCTCTTGAAATTGTCTACCTCGTCTTCCATGGTATTCTGGGTGCAAATTCTGAGAACTCTGTAGCTGAGTGAACGGATCAGGCTTCGTTTGGTGTATAGGGGTACCCAACTATGAAAGTTAGTAAGCAGTCCGTTTCACGTCGACTTTCTGTAGATAGATCTTTTCAGTGTTCGGCCTTGTTAGTTGAACGTCAAGAAAGGATATTTTGGAGTTAGACTCTTCTACTAACGTGAACTGAATTGCAAGATGGCAGGTGTTAAAGGAATTTAAGATTTCGTCTAGATTTTCTTCATTGTTGACGATAATGAAAATGTCGTCGAAGTAAGTATTACTGTATAGCACACTGTGAGACCTTATCAAAATAAATTTTACCCATATTGCGATCCAACATGTGCCTATCTTCCCCACTTCGTAGGGTCTTCCGTATGATCCAGTTCACTACAACCAGAATGAGCATTGGTGATTAATTCATTAATTAATTAGGTAATTTGATTAACATTTAAAATACGCTGGATAAACTTACGAAAACACTATTCGGCTCCAATATTTTCAATTCAATGAATATCTTATTATCTTTGCTATTTGATTGTTTGCGTGAACTTTGAGTAGTGGTGCTCTAGGTGATAACATAAGAAAATCAAAGAGAAGAAATATATATGTGTAAAACTTGGGCATTGTGGTAGTGAGTAATTCCATATTAGTTTGTTTATTAGATACATCACACAGTGAAACAGCAGTATTTACTTGACATTGACGTTTCGAACAATATTTACTACTGTTCGTAATCAGATCAATTATAACTACACAACTTCGAAACTTCCGTTCCATAGTCTTCTTTATTCTTTTGTATTCTTCGTCGTAAGGGTAGTAGAATTTTCCATATGTCCACCTGGACAGGTGTTGAATCATTCCTATTACACGTATTTGCAGTTGATTCGATAAACAAAGCTTCTGCTATCAATATATCTTTCCACCCTGTTACATTAGATTTTAAAGCTGTCATCTTATCCCATCATCCTGTTGTATGGCTGTGTTGTGTGTAAGTGCATGTAGTGAGTGCTATGGTTGAACTAATCTCTAGATTTCTCATCTTATTCGGGTCAACTAATCTAGATTTTGATAGGTTTTTATGCTCCGCTAGTCTGACCGCCCCTGTTCTACTACTCTGACCTACGTATTTGACGTGACAATCGTTGCAGGCAGGGTATTAGATCAACTAAATTGTTTGATCCTGTAACCGACAAAGCGTGTTTCTAATTGAGTTTGTGGGTGGTTTGAATGCCAGCCACTTTTATTCCTGCCTGCCTTGTTAAGAATTCTCCATAAGGTTTCCGAGGTTTATTCCTTGTATAAAATTACTACTGATGATTTAGATTCCTTATTGTTGGTGTTGTAAAATAGTTGTAAAATAGTTAAAATTCAATATAAAGAATTAATCTGGAGATTGCTTCAACACTATGGAGTACAGTACCCAAGTTTTTATTAATCTCATTTAAACACTTCGCTACATGACAGTGCCATGTGTCAAGTGATCGACAACGGAAAGCTTGGAGAGACGCTCAAAGTGAATACAGGAGGATAAGAAGGCTGCCTGATTACTATTACTGATGAAATTCCTAATTGTGGATTATGCGTCAGACTGTACACAGGGAGAGAAAAGACAGGAATATATTGGGCTAATGTGAACATTCTGGAAGATCCGGATTTCACACCTGGATGATTTATGTTTGACGCCACACAAACTTCAAGAATTACGGAAGGAAACCTACAAACTGGCTGTAGAAGCAGGCAGGCAGTGAAGGCAGGACTATAAGTGAACATAGAGAAGACGGAGGTGATGAAGATACCCAACCGACCGACAGCGACTGCGACAACCAGCATCAGTCACTATCAACCGGAGAGATTTGACAGAGGTTACTTCCTTCAGTTATCTAGGAAGCGCAGTTTCAAACACAAGCAGTTGGAACTCATGAAGATGTCAAAGCCAGCCAAAATCAGAAGGGCATCCTGAAGGCATTGTCAAAATCTTCTGTACTTCACCTCAGCATAAACACCAAGATTCGGATTTTCAACACAAATGTTAAGTCAGTCAGTCAGTTCTTGTATATGAGTGGGAAACGTGCACTGCGTGTCAGTCACGAAAAGCATTTCCAACAGTCAACTGCAGACTTTTATCAACAGCTACCGCCTTCGCTGGCTTCATATTGAACAGAGAGGAAGAATTAGTAGCAGGATCGTTCAAAATTATCAATTGACAAGAGAGTTCAATTCTCCTAAAGTTTGTCGAAGCGATCTCCATCAAGTGCCTGAAACCTGATTTATTCGTTCAGAAAGAAACAGTTATCAGCCTTTAATACCCCTGATAGCTGGATATTTTCACCTCTCTTTCATCTAATTACGTAATATTGAAAGTTTCCATTGTGTATGATAATTGTTCGGAATACTGTTTAATATTATATATATATATATATTTACATATATATATATATATATATATATATATATATATGCAATATTATATTATATGCATATTCTAATTGACTGGTTTTTGTTTAAAAATGAGCTCTGTGCAAGTCTATTAAAATTGTTTCTGTAGATGTACTTAATAATGACTGGCCTGTAAGCAGCTGATGAGAAGCCAGTGAAATAAACACTGATGGTACCGTTTTATTCTGCAAAAGCCACTGTTGTTCATGCTTTAGTCAAATTCATTATTATTATTATATCCTTTAATTCCTAGAGGAACATACGGCTTCAGCCGTTCGTCTCCATTGAGTTCGGTTCTCTGCTACAGTCTTCACCTGGCTCCAAATCTGCCCACACGTTTTCATCTCCTCTTCACATGACCTCCTCCAAGTCACCCTTGCACTGACGACCAACTCGCCGCTTCCATTTCGGACTCCACTCGAGCAATGGCTTGTCTAGTGATGTCACTTGATGGTTTCCTGAGAGTATGGTCAATCCATCTACATTTCTTCCTGCATATTTGTTTCACAATCGATTTCTGGTTGGTTCGCTCATTGCCAGATATCTCTGTTGCTGATCTTCTCTGGCCGGCCATCTGATCTTAAGTAGTATTGAGCGAAGACAGCTGTTAATGAAGGTCTGTAGTTTGTTTGAGATGCTCTTTATGACACGCAGTGCAAGTCTCTGATCCGTATAGTAGCACTGACTGACTTCACATTGGAGTTGAAAATCCGGATCTTATCTTCGTTTTGATGCTGAGTGCTGTTGACCTCCACACAGACTTGAGAGTAGTGAAAGCTTGTCTTGCTTTTCTGATTCTGGCTTTGATATCCTCGTCAGTTCCGCCTGTAGTTGAAACGATGCTTCTCAGGTAGGTAAAAGAGGTTGTTTCTTTCAGGTTCCTCCCATTTATACTGATTGTTGTCAGTTGTTGTTGTTGCTGTTGGTGGTGTTGCCCAGGAATTTTTGATCACCTCCGTTTTCTCTATGTTCACCTGGAGTCCTATCTTTGATGCTTCTTCTGCCAACTTGTTGCTTTTCGCTTGCATATCTTCCAGTTTGTGGGAAATCAGACATATATCATTGGCAAAGTCCAGATCCTCCAAGTTTTTCGTAAGAGTCCGTCTTATGCCTGTTTCCTCATTGCCCGATGTTTGTCGCATTATCCAGTCTACTGCAATCAGGAAAATCATTGGCGATAGTAGGCAGCCTTGTCTTACTCCTGTCCTCACTTTGAAGGACTGCGTAAGTTTCCCGTTGTGGATTACTTGGCATGCAGCATTGCAAATTCATTAAGGGGTGTATAAATGAATGAAATATCCTTTTTAAAACACAGCTCAACTTACCTTCAACCTTTTACTCCTAATTTCATTTGATTTGAAATAATACTGAACACGAGTTTCTGGTCTACCTCCCTTACCACTAGTTGACTTTCCGCATTTAGCCTTTAATTCAATATCTTTAAGAATACGACACTGGCCTGTTTTAACAATGTAGATCCAATTGCTTTGATTACTATCCAAACATATTGTCATATTACGTCTGTAAGGCAAGGAAACATGAAAGTCGTACACGAAAGCAGAATATATATAATGGCAAAGAAAATATTCTCTTCGACGAATTATTTCTTCAGGGGTTGTGCAATTTCATACATTTGGTTCCCTTGATAAATTTCGATAGAGAAAGAAAGACCAGATTTGCAGTGTGAAATGTGATGTCATCATTCTATTCCACAGGTTCTCATCAACTGCTGCAAACTACCTGAAATTACAATGGTTATAAATAATGACATTTCATACTTCAATGTTTGAAAGGTAATAGAGAAAACATTATAAGATGATCGCATCCGGAATATAAGCATTACTATTTTTAGTTTAAGTCACCATCAGCCCATGGCGACTTCATCAACTTGTCAGTAGAATTGATACAGCAAAGAAAAAGATGAGAAAGCGAAGTATCCAACAGTTGAAAAGAAGAAAGTGTTCATTTGCCTCCCCCAACCGTATTCAAATGAGAAGTAGTATCACAAAAGATTGACAATAGGATGAAAGGAGCAATAAAAGGATGCTTCGGTGCAGCTGAGCTGGTGACACTATTCAGCAGCACTACATGCTCTATAAGTCAACAATCGAAACAGGATAATTACCCTGCTGATGTTACCTTCAACTGCATTTATAAATTTACGTGCACCTGCGGCAGCAAGTACATTGGAAGGACAGAAAGAAGGGCTTCTATCCGGTTTTCAGAGCACATTCCAAGAAACTTATGCTTAAAAGGAAGCAGATATTTACAAAGTGCAATTACCAGACACCCACCATATGGATACGGGTCATTTTGTCGAGATCCCCAAATCCTTCAAACTATTAAACACGCAAAGGATAGCGAATCTACTACGATTTACTGCTGAAGCAATTGCAATCAGGCGTTTCAGACCAGAATTATGCACACAGATAGAGAGAGTGTAGTCTATCTCTCACTCACTTCGTGACCGTATTGCTTTCATTACACTGACTAGTCATACACACTAGTGAGCTCAGCTCACTGAGCAATTTTTCAGTTTGATGAACTTTAACCTTCTTGAGTTGCTATGTAAAACTGTTTATTAGATTTTTCCGTTTTCTGTCTTCTCTCAACGCCTTTCTTCTTTTTTTAATAGTTTGATAGTATATAAATTGATGGTAACTTAAACTACAAATTGTAATGCTCACAATATCCTGGATGCGTTGTTCATCTTATAATGTTTTCACTATTACCTTTCAAACATTGAAGTATGAAATGTTATTATGTATAGTCATTGTAATTTCAGGTAGTTTGCACTTAGCTGATGAGAACCTGTAAAATAGAATGATGGTATCATTTTATACTGCATACCTGGTCTTTTTTCTCTATCAAAAACTATCATTCCATTTTATACATGTGCACTACCCGAATGCAAACAGTTTCTGATATAATTTTCATTTGCCTTTACTAGCTGGCTGTTTGTATTCTTCTAATATTTCATGGACTTATAACTGTAGAGCCTAGGCAAGAAGTTGTCGAAAACAAGTGTCCATTCAAAATCATCTTGTTCTGATTACACTATGGGGATATTTAAATTAATCCGTGACACTACTCTAGGTACATAACTTTTCCTGGAAATTAATTAATAATGATAATGGCTTCCTTCCAAATAGCACATTTGTTACAATGTGAAATTTTCTGCATGTAATAAAACATTTCAACCAACTTTTTCCTATTACATTACCTAATAAGAGGGGATTATTAATTGAGCATTTATATTGATAATACTGTTCAACAATTAGTCCCTATTTGATAAATTTGAATAAAGCATTTAGAAGACAAATTTCGCCAGATGATATCATCATTTCATAGTTTTGCTACAACCACTTTACAACTAACGTGGTTCACAATAATAAAATAAAATGCATGACAATTACTCAGTTACATAAAACAAAAGTACACACTAATGACCAATCATATTTAAAGGGTCAAGTAGTCAGTTTATGACAGGCGAAGGTTGGAGTCTTTTGTTTCGACTGTAAACATAGTTTAGGATGTGTGTGATTAATCCTCAAAGTTTTTCCATCACCTTTAATAACCAACCTTGTGAAGCAGTCATCTACATCAATTGATTTTGTGACCTGACATTAATAATTGCCTTTGCAATGGATGATGCTGGATTTCTGTTCAGGTTAATTGCATTGGGATTTTCTATGTGTTTTAATGACCATTTTGGAACATGTTCTTTTCGACCACACGACATCGGAAGATTCTATTGGTCCTACTTATATATGTGTGTGTCACCAAAACTGCAAGTGAACTTGTAGATACAGTTTGAAGTAGAGTCCACAGGACTTCATCCTTTAATCGTAGGTACAGGGATCGAAAATGTTCGGCAAATGAGAAAAAGAGATGTGGCGTAGAATGTGCGTTTGATGGCTGAACGAAGTCTTTGAGTTAGCTGTCAACTGCATAATTTGATCACCGGTGAATGGAAGGTTAATTAAGGCAGACAGCTTTCTTTGGTACAGAGAAGCTGTCTTTCCTAGATGTGGTCTTTCCTTACAGTGACAATTGACAATAGAATGTTCCAGTGTCACCGTCAAAAAGAACACGTTCCAAAATGGTTATTAAAACACATAGAAAATTCTAATGCAATTATTAATCTGAATAGAAATCCATTGCAAAGCACTTGTTAATGTCAGGTCAGAAAATCAATATTGACAACTGTTTCACAATTATTTCATCACATATCTCTCATTTAAGGTTGGTTATTAAAGGTGATGGAAACACTTTGGGGATTAATCACATTCATCCTATACTACGTTTACAGTCAAAACAAAAGACTTCAACCTTCGCCTATTATGACGAATGTACTTGACCTATTTAAATATGATTGGTCATTAGCAGCAGAGTATGTACTTTTGTTTTATATAACTGAGTAATTGTCATGCATTTTATTTTATTTTATTATTGTTAACCATGTTAGTTGTACAGCGATTTTAAAGAAACTACGAAATGACGACATCATCTGGCGAAATTTATCTTCTAGATGCCTTATTCAGTCTAAGATTGCAAAATTAAACGATGGTTAAACGATGCAGAGTAGTTTTCAAGTTTTGGCTTTCGGCGATTTGACCGATTTCAAGTCTACTCACCGACTGAGTTTAGTTAGAGAACCACTGAAAGCCTGGAAGGAGTACTGGACAGATATTTCGTCCTGGTTTGAGATTCTTCAGGAATCTGTTCTTATAACCCCACTAGGTGCCAAACCCACTGCCTTCAGGATACAAGGGGAGATCCTTGACCATGCAGCCAATGGGATACAACTCAACGGCCCACGAATCCCAGTTTCTACCGACTTGCGATTAACGTGCGTATAGAATAATGTTTGTTTGATAAGCTACTTTTGCTGTTATGGTTAATGATTTGAAATCGAGTGAAAATATTGGTAGCTTTAGGATTCTAACAAATGAGATCCAGATTACTGGTCGGGCACTTCGTCAGGTGACATCCCAATTTGGAATAGTACTTCAGGACTGGTTTCAAACGATACATACCTGAATGTAAACAGCCATATGTGAGTACAGTCTATAGCAGCATTCTGTGTTACTAGAAGTGCGATTTAGTTTGAGGAGTGAAAGGGTTGACTTGAACAGGGAATACCACTAAGAGATGAAGTCACAGATTATTAGTCAACGCTGCTAAGGCTAATTTCGCCTAATTCGACTGAAAATGTCTTCTAAATACCTTATTCAAACAATATATCAGTAAAAGAAAGAATTAAAAATGGCTGCTTACTTAGTGTTACGCAGTAATTTAGTAGTGTTATGCCTTACACACTTTTCTCACCACATAAAATATGTCCCAACCAAATAAGGTTTTGCAGAGCTTTTATATTCAGTCATTTGAGCATAAAATCTTCTATAGTTGTTTCTAGTTCTACCTGATGAGATGAGGCATGAAGCGGGTTCACTATAGAGGGGATGGTCATGGTCCGACGAGATGATTTTTAACTGATTTCTCGCATGAGTTCATATTGTCTATCTACAGCAGTATTAACCCGTCGGTGTAGCAGTACCCCACCCACCCTAACGACAGCTTTTAGTACCCGTCGTAATGTAACAAAGACTTTTTTAAGTAGCTCAAGAAAGATTACGATGGGGGGCAGAAAAGAAGAATTGGTAGGACAGAAAAGTTAACAAATTTAGAAAGTAGAAACGGAGTGATACAAACTGTCTTAACTTCTTTATGTAGAACGTCAGTCGAAATATCTTTCCAGAAACTAACATGGTGAGAGAAGTCCACGAAATGTCAGAGGAAAGAGATAACCCAAGGCATTCAACACTAATTAATTGATTAATTAATTGATCTTACCGAAAATACGTGAATAATAAAACTGAACCATCAGCTGAAGACAACTGATCAATTACTTGACATGGTATAAATGAGATTGTACGTAAAAATGAAATGTGCTCAGCTTCTTTATCATGTGAACTCTGTAAAAATATTTTATTAAATTCATCTTGTGACATAACCAATAATTCTACTGATGTTTTACATATGATTGTTGCACTTCTATTACTACGATAAATTAAAGCCAATTCCTGTTAGATGAAAGGAAAAAATATAACATATATACACAGATATCATAATATAAATATATCAAACATTTTTATCAGAAAAAATTAGTTCAGTGAAGAGTCTCTTTTCGGCGAATTCATTCACTTAGCTGTACAGTCGCAAATATATACAATTAATTTTGTGTGTGTGTGTGTATATAGGTCGTTCGATGCGAGTTTTATCTAAAAGAGTTCAAGAACACTATCCCGCCTGGCTACGGAAAGGTAACAACGGAGCAATAAGGAGCGCAATTATTGAGCATATACTCAACACTGGTCATTCGATTTGCAAGGAGAAGTCGTTCAAAGTCATCTATAAAGTTAAAAGAAGCCTTCCAAAATCGACAAGCTTCCGTATACTTTGTATTGCTGAAGCCTTAGCGATTTGGATAGAAAAGCCTGATTTATGCACACAGAAGAAACTTCTCCACCCCCACCTACTACCGTGGGTTTAATTTCAAGTTTATCTGTCATCAACATTTTGTTATCAAAATTTTTAGCAACTAACCCATTCAATCTTTTCACCTATTATCTAGTTTGCTTTCCTAATTGTCTCCATACTCCTTCACTAGCATCTAATCTTTCTAAACATGTCTATACTAGGTAACCCTACTCACATTTTACCAATCTTCACCCCACTTAATTGCAACTTTGATTATTAATCACACATTTTAATTTCTTTATTATTTTGATGATATAATCAACAACCCACACTAAGTGTTATTTTGATTTTGACAAACCTAATGTACACACACACAAAATTAATTTGTATATTTGAGACTGTACAGCTAAGTGAATGAATTCGCCGAAAAGAGACTCTTCACTGAACTAATTTGTTCTTATTTCAATGTCTTGATGGGTATTTTTCACGAATTAATCATTTTTATCTTACTTAATTCAATGTATAAGTAGTATAATTTAATATTGTGAATTAATACCAGTTGGACGTCATGGGTGATTAGATTCCATGGGCTCGCACAGTAACTTGAGAGTCCTGCCTTCGATACCTGCTCGTTGGTGCCGTTGAAGAGTCCCAGACGAGGATGAAACAGCTGTTACGTACCCACCGTTAATTTTCAGTGGTTCTCTAACTGATATTAATTTGTGATCACACTCGAAGTATAATATTTATTTTGGATGGTGGTGATTACAAGTGGAATATAGGATGGGACTCGTCGGTAGGATGTAGGTACCTGAATTCCTGGTGAGTCATGGTGTTTCTACGGCGACTTGAACCCACCAACCATCGTTTCAAGTGCTAAGGTGTTATTCACTGGGACACTGGGTCACGAGATCTACCACTTTCGAAATGGTTATCAGTTATTTTTGAGTGAAGTCGTTTATATAAAGACTCGAAACCTTGCAGATACATCTAGCTGCCAAGTGCCGAATGGAACGAAATGAATACTCTGATGTCTACTTCTAGTCCCTACCAACAAAAACAATGTCATGTTAACCTCCAGGTATCTTCAAAAGCCTCCTTACTAAGTGCGGAAATGTCAACTGACGCCGAACATTTTGGTCCCACACAATCAGTAGATTGAAATGAAAAGCAAATTACAAGTTTGATCTCGAACTTACATCATTGGGAGAATCACTGGATGAATAAGAATCACTGAGTAGCTGTTTCGTCGTGGTTTGGGACTCTTCATCGGTGTTCATGCACCAAGGATCGAACCCGGCACCTCCAGGTCTCAAGGCTAGCTCGTAGACCATTCAACCATTGGTCTAAGTGCAATTGCCTATAAATTCCAATTTCTTCCAGCTTGTAATATACGGCGCAACTGCCAGCCAATATCAACGGCGATGTTGGCTAGTGACTGGCTGTATTCAGGAAGTTACTTAGATTTCAGGTGAGAAGTTGTGACCAGAGGGGTCCAGAAAGTCATTTAGGCAAGAGAGAAGTTATCCGCCCCTGATATTGTATGGTCGTTGCGCTACATATCGCGAATTAGCTGAACTTAAAATTGGTGGGCCATCGGATTATATCCCAGAGGCTAATCGGTATACGAGCTTACCTTGTAACCTAAAGAACCTGAGTTCGACCCCTGGTTGGGTTATGGTTGTGTACTGCTGAAGTGTACCAAACATAGATGAAACAGTTGTAGAGTACTCCCAAGTTTTCCACTGGTTCTCTTACTAATGTCAGCTAGTGATTAAACTTGTAACCAGTCAAGTCCCCGCAAACCAACATTTAAAAATGCAGACTAACTTAATCAATAATATGGTATTTTTGAGCAGTAGTATTGTGATGAGAGCTGTTTACATGAATGTTTACGTCTCGAATCGGGGTCATGAGGAAAAAACAATAACAAGCTTAATCAACCAATCACAGCAGACTTGACGTGTGCGAATAGGACTCGTAGATATATGGCTCAACTTTCTCAGAAACGACGACAAGCAGTACAGAATAACCTTCAGCAAGAAAAACACCAATGTGAAGACGTTGCTTCTGCGCTAACAATAATGCACATAAAAATCTATAATTATCTGTTGATTTTCTCAATAGAGGGTCTGTTGCCTGGCCCTTGTCTTCTGTCGTTACAGTATAACTATCACATATGTTGTGTTGAGTTATATTCGTTACATTTCAGCGTAGAATGTAACAAAAACTAACGTCAGTTGTGAAATCGTTGTAGACCAAGAAGCAGTGGCCAACGGTTTTGTAGGTTTTTCGCGACCAGCAACCATGATTCTACCAAGGATCTTATTTAGGTTACTGGACCAATGACGTGAAGCATTCAGCCACTAGGTAAAAATCTGTTGACCTATGAATTCTAACCTCCATCACTTGTCAACATGGTGCTACTGCTGCGGTTTTCCCAAATTATCTAATCACTGTCACAGATTCCATGCTGAAATCCTAACTTATCGCTAAATTGCATCAGTGGTTCAACGGTAGAACGTTCGCCAACCACGCCTCATGTGGTTCTGGATTCAATTTCCGGCAGATGCACTTCATTACCTTGTTAAGTCGGTAGAAAGGCCAGCAAAGAGGAAAGGTTAGGCTAGTTGAGATAAGCAATCCTACCTCGTAAAAATAAAGCCACTGCTATCGAGGCTCCAAAACTCTAGCTCGAAGCCCCCTATGTTCCATTGGGAACGTAAAGGAATAAAGAAAAATATGGCTCCTAAATTAATGAAATCACCAGTGAGAACATGTATCAGATAGCTCCACCATACATAACCAATGCACATCACCTGGAATTCATTTCTTACCGGATTTCAACACCGCAGGTGAATAATGAAAAATGTGTCTCACTGGCAAAGTGAGACTTTCTGATTAGATCTGTATTAGAACGATGGCTGCTCATTGGTGAGTCGTCGTAGGCCATGATGCGTTCTTTCCCCATTAATCTTTCCTGAACTACTTAAGAAAGATTTTGCTTTGCTGAGAAGGGCACTAAAAGCTGTAAGTAGGGGAAGTGGGATATCGTTAAACCAACTGGTTAACACTATTGTGGATAGACATAAATTGTCATGTAAGAAACTAGCGAATACTATATTGTCAGACCCTGAGCATCCTCTCTATACGCAGCTCTCTCCTTGCATTTCATCTGGTAGAACTAGAAGCAGCTATAGGAGGCTATATGCCAGGACTACCGAGTATAAAAACTCCACAATACCTTATCTGGCACAGCTGTTATGTGATGAGAAAACTGTTAGGTATGACACGATCAACTTACTGAAGCACTCTAACAAATAGTTCCCATTAGCTTTTGTTTTCCTTTCTGTGTTACTATTATACTGTTGCTCACATATTCTATTACACACTAATTTTATATTTCATATCCTGTGGTGCATTGTTTAAATATGTGAATGCAATGCTGTTCTTTTTTATTTCATTTATTTCTCTTTTTTCTTTTTGTTGTTGTTGCTTTTTGTTTTTTAAATCTTATAAAATTTATGAGGTAATTAGATGCAGTATTGTAATGCACGCTGAAAATTCCATACCTGTAACACAAATACTGTTTGGAATAAAGCTATTATTACTATTATTAAACGGTGATTTTTGTGATTATTAGGATTATTGTTATGAATGTACCTACTTATAAAAGTTAAGCCTTCACTGAAAAATCATACGTGTTCTTTATTGATAAACAGTACTTTATAGTTCTTTGGTTTTTGAGAGGAACACTGGGACTTATCCTTTTGGCCTTGAAATTTCAGTGGTAATTGTGTTATTTTTTTCACGAGAAAGTATTCCTAGCCTCACCTTTCTTTTTTGGACTAAATGAAGGCAAGGTAAAGTTTAGGAGTACGTCAGTTAGTCGGGCATACAACTAGGAGTTTCTGGCGGAATTATGGCTATTATTCTAATAACAATAATAATAGCATTATTCTAAACAGTACTTTTAGTACAAACATGAAATTTTCCGCATGTAATGTAACATTGCATCTAATTTTCTCATTACAGGGAATATAATTAAGATAGTGCATTTACATTAATAATATTGTTCACCAAGAAGTGAGAATAAAAACTAAATCAAGTGAAAATATTAACGGCAATAAGAGAACAAAAAACATTGAGCCGTTTACTAATAGTTCCTCAGGGAAGTTGATAATTTCTTGTCGTACACTTTCCCTATCACATAAAATGTGTCCCTATCAAATTAGGTATTGCAGAGTACTTGTACTAAGTCGTCCAAGCATACAGTCCTCCATAGTTGCTTCTAGTTCAACCCGATGAGAGGGATGCAAGGAAAGAGTTGTGTATGGAAAAGACATTCAGAGCCTGACAGGATAATATTCTCTAATTTCCTGCGTGAGTATATCGGTATATCTACAGTAGTACAAACGGGTTGGCTTAGCAACACCCCACTGGTTGTAATGATGGCTTTTAGTGCCTTTCTCAATTTAAAAAAAGTCTTTCTTAAGTAGCCTGGGAAAGATTAAGGGAGGAAAGAAAAGAAGTATAGGGCGAATGCAAGAATTAATAAACGGTAACAGTAGAAACCGAATGATACCAGACCGTCTTAATTTTCTTACATAGGACATCAAATGAAAAATCTTTCTGGAGACTAACATGATAAGGGAAGACCAGAAAAGGTGATTAGAGGAAATACACAGTTCAAGGTATTTAACACTCGATTTAGTTTCAACTTCTGTGTCATCTATGATAATGGAACCATGAGAACCAACCAGTTCACACAGGTCGCGCTTACATCTGAAAGTGAAATTAACCACCTAACTGATGTTTAGAGAGATTAAGCTTAAGATCACTTGATGAGGACCACTGACTAATTTATGGAACAGTCTGGCTGAGAATTAACAGGCATAGAAACAGTCAGACCATCAGCATACTTAACAAAATTGACCTCGTCAGAATGGGGCGTAAGTCATGTAAGAAGAAAGGAAACAGAAAAGGGGAAACAACAGCACCTTCAGCAAGGAACACCAGCTAGAGTAAGTGAAGCAGGCAGTAAAGGACTTCCCATTGTAAACAGTGTACTGCTTCTTATTAGAAAAATAGAAATACAACAACTTGGTAATCCAGTGCTGTGCTTGTGACACAGTAAGGTTGTTTAACAAAAGAGAAGCCTAGGTACGGAGTCAAAGGTAGATGTGTCATCTAGGAAGCCATATCGAACATATCTGGTACCTCTATTTAAACTAGAGACAATATTATGATCTAAGACGTGAGTGCCATCGAACCACTGACTCACAGTGATAAACAGTTATGCTCATGAAACTTTGAATATAACAAACTACATTCACTTTCTTCTAGTCATTAATTCATTACTCATGTGCTCATTCGATGTGTGAGCAACTGAAGAATAAAGTTAACCAAGTTATAACAACATACGAAACCACTTCAAATCTAAGATACATTGGAACTTTATTCAAGATGATAGCTAGACTTTGTGGCTCCAGTGGAGTCACTCAGTGATTTTACTCTCGGTGTATGGTATTGAAAGTTAACTTTGCTTGTTCCTCTAACGACAATGAAACTGTGAAGATCAATTGTAGGTTATGTTAAGACACCAAGCTATCAGAAGGTGGATACCACTAAATTTCTAATGTATGTCCATTTTTCTGATAGCTCTAAGCAGCATTTTCAAACCGGTGTAAAATGACTTTGAATGCATTTAAATAACTGTATTGTATGTTTCAGCTATAAAATTTGGGATTTTTCAACTTTAAAGTCAATCTGAACAAACAATATTTCTTTCAATAATTTCTCCTATTCAGGTTCTTACAATTATAAAATATGCAATATTTGTTGTCGTTACAGTAATGATAGCCAGTTGTTCGGCGGATATATTTTATTACCGTAGAATAACAGATTAGTAGTTATGGTGTGTCAAAATAAGTAGTCGTATTTGTGTGACAAACGTGCTAGGCTGAATTCAATTACAAAATATTGTGAAATGGGAGACAGTGGTGGTGATTAGTCATAATGGATTTGTAGAATGTGAGGTAGGAGGAAGCTAACAAGTCAGTTGAAGGTTATAAAAGGCGTCAGGTGATGGAGTGGCTAGTACAAAGTAGTATGTATTGAAGAGGAGAGGTTCGTCTACGGGTTCGAGAACATTTACTAGCTTGGTTCAGCAGGGGGGAAATTAAGTGCATAAAAAGCTCGATCCTGTCACACTTGGTCGATACTGGACATCATATCGATGTTAACGCAGCTTTCAGGGTTATATACCGAATTCCGAAGTCGTTATCACGTACAGTTCGCTTACGTCTTCTACACATAGCTGAAGCTGTTGCAATAAGATCGACTAAACCGGAACTTCGTATCCAAAATGAACATGTTCAAACGCTGTTCCTAACGTGGCCAAACTTGGATTAATGATTCTCCTTCTCACAAAGAGTGTTTCTGCCCCTTAACCCTCTTGGTTTTTTTTCTTTCTTTGCTAATTATTACAATTATTATTATTCGTCATAATTTATACCCTTCATGCAAACATTCTCTCAATACTATCGAATTTTCCATTTATACCATCCGGAGTTATTATTAGCGCTATTATCGCTTTTCTCAATATATACCTCCACCTGTTTCATTTCACACATTCGTTGTTTCATTATGAACCTCTCGTTGTAGCCTTACTATCTCCACCTCTTTAATACATACCTCTTTGTACTAGCCACTTCACTCACCTGACACCTTTTATAACCGTGAACTGACTGACTTGTCAATTTTCCTACTCTTCATTCTACAAATCTATTATGACAACTAATCACCACCATTGTCTCCTATTTTACAATATTTTGTAATTGAATTCAGCCTAGCACGTTTGTCACACAAATACGACTACTTATTTTGTGACTTCATAACTAATCTGTTATTCTACGTTAAAAAATGTATCTGCCGCATTACTGGCCTTTATTGTAACGACAACAAATATTATATTTTATAATTGTAAGAACCTGAAGAGAAGAAATTATTGAAAAGAATATTCTTTGTTCAGATTGACTTTTAATTCACGCGATATGGGAATATTTCACACTATTAAATCTTATTTCTCAACTTACTCCAAAACTTTGTCCAGCCTTTAAAATGGATACAGTCTCTTCAAAAGGTTCTCCTGTTTGTTTATTCTTTCTGGATACACTTACAACAACTGGGAGAAAAAAAGAAAAAAAATGGAATAATATTAAACAGTTAGAAAGACAGATTTGAGAAGCTTTAACGACGGTGGCACAGCAGTAGAATGCTCGCCAACCACACCTCATGTGGTTCGGGGTTCAGTGCCCGACCACAGACGCACTCCTTTACCTCGTTAAGCCAGTAATAAGACTGGTAAAGAGGATAGGTTGAGTTGGGTATGAGGCTAGCAACCGCATCCCGTAAAAAAGCCGAAACACCACTGCTACCGAAATTTCGATTCTCTAGCTTGAAGCCCTATATTTCACTGGGAACGTAAACGGAAGAAAAGTAAAAATAAAAAATAATCCCTGAGTTGTATTCAGTGATAAACCTGATTACATTTTACATTCATATTTATAACATTGCCATTACTGTATCTGGACACAATTGACCAGTATTCATTTCGTGTACAGAGGCTCTTTGAACGAATCCTTTAATATTACCAGGATTATTAATTTGGAGTTGTTTGTCTGCTGGTGGTAGTCAATAGAATTCAGGGCAGGCGTTTCATCTACTTTGAGACTTATCATCTGAATGCACTTAATCAATATGGAGCCAGCGAAGGTGAAAGCTGTTGACAAAAGTCTGCAGCTGGCTGTTGGAAATGATCATCGTGACAAGCACTGCAAGTTTCTGACCTGTATAGAAAAACTCACTGACTGACTTCACACTGTTGTTGTTTATGCTGAGGAGGAGTGCAGAATATTTCCAAACTGGTTTCAGATTGATGAAGGCGTATGTCGCCTTTCAGATTCTGGCTCGTGTTGACATCTTCATCCTTTCCGCCTGTAGTTAAGACGATGCTTGCTGCTTAGCCAGATAGGTGAAGGAGTTAATCTCGTTCAAGTTTCTCCTGTTGATAGTGACTGTACTGGTTGTTGTTGTTGCTGTTGGTCAATGGGGTATCTTCATCCCTTCCGTCTCCTCTATGTTCACTTCTTCGCCTGGAAGTCTTCGAGTTTGTGTGACACTAAATATATATCATCTGCGAAATTCAGATCTTCTAGAGTCTTCTTATTAGCCGTCCAGCGTATTCTTGTCTTCTCACTCACCACGCACAGTCTGACGCATAATCCAGTCCACCACAATTAAGAATATCATCGGTGATAGTAGGCAGCCGGCCTTGTCTTACTCCTGTATTTACTTCAAATGCCTGACTGAGTCTTCTACTTTGGGTTATATGACATTTAGCATTATCAAATAGTTGTTGAATGAGGCTGATAAAGATTTTGGCGCTGCACTCCATAATGTTGAAGTAGTTTCCAAATTAATTCTCGACCAATGTTATCCAAGGCCCTTTCAAAGTGAATGAAAGTGAGGCAGAGGTTTGACTGTCATCCTATGCTCTATTCAGTAATGATAAATAGAGTCGCAATTTGGTCAGAAGATGATGTGCCTTTCCTGCATCAAACTGGGCTGAGTTCGACATGTAGTCCAGGATGATGAGACTTAGTATTTTGTTGGCCTGGACAAGAGCATGTTTCCACTCCAGTTCTTGCAGAGTGAGGCCTAAGTTACCCTTCTTTGGCAGCTTGACAATATAGCCTTTCATTCAATCAGCAGGTATGTTGCCTTCCTTCCACACCTTTTCCAGTAGTGGCGTGGGCATATCTGCTGCGGCCTCTGAGTCAGTTTTTAGTGCTTTGAGAGTGTTTCCATCTGGTCCTACTGCCTACCCGAACTTTAGTAGCTTGATTGTATTCAAGATTTCTACTTTTCTTGGAGGATTGGCGGCCTCTGGCAGTTCTGTGCATGCTATCGGTTGTATTTCTGGATGAGTTGCAGATGATGTTTGATTCAAGAGTCCTTTGAAGTGTTCAGCCCATTGTTTCAATTGTTTCCGTTCCGTCGTAATCAGGTTCTTTGAGCATCTTTAATTGGTTTCATCATCTGGGTTGATCTGTTCCCTAATAGCCACTTGCTTATCTGATATAATGTTCTGAGGTCTCTTTTATCTGCTGCCTGCCTGTTCGGCTTCAGTTGCCAACCAGTGTGTCGTAGAATTGTCTTTTGTCTTTCCTTGTAGTCTTCTTCAATTCTTTATTCGGTGCGGTGTACATTGAACTCAGCTTCTCCTTCTCTTGTCCATCTTTGCATTGGTTAATCTTCTGTTCTGCCATCCTCCTCTCTTTTTTTGGCTTCCAGGTGTCCATGGAAGGCTAGTCTTTGCATTGTCTGTTGTATCGTCCTAGGATGGTTGTACACATTTCTTTCTAACATCACTTTCATAGAGTTCCACTGTTCTTCCATGTAGGTTTTCCAAGCAATACCATTTAGTTTCTAAGACGTTGCTCTGATATCTGCCATTAAGGTATCTTTTCTAGTTTCATCCTTCAGGTTTCGAGTGTTGAACTTGAATTTTGATCTATCTCCAACTGTTCTGAATGTTTCCAACTTGAAATTGAAGGTCTCTTGAACTAGAAAACGGTGTAAGGCCACATTTACTCCCGTTCTCGATTTTGTGTCCAGACCAACATCAGTTAGAGATTCTACATTCATAAACGAACGATCTGTCAGAACACTTGCTTTTAATATCTATTTCATCAGGCTTAATAATTATAAATCCACAAACTTTGCCATACAATGAACAACCAGTAAAGGCGAGATCTTAGTTATATCAAAAACAATAATAATAATGATGATGGAGAGAATCAAATTCGATTGATTCTTGACGGGGGTTGGGTGGGTTAGCGAAGGACGGGAGGATGTATCTTACAATCGCCGTACTCTTGAAGGACCTACCTGTACCTGAAACAATAAAATAGAAATTTAATGGCGGTTGACCTTGTCGAATTATCATTCGTCTAGCTTCATACCTAAAAAAATGAAAGACACTGAAAATCAATATAAATGTAATGCTCAGATCAACTATCAACGCTTATATCAAGATTTTGGTGAACAGTCCAGGTTGATACAATGATCAGAGTGGCTGTAGGTCTTCATTATGGTCGATTTACATTACAAGGTACACAGGGAAGTGTTATTATAATTATTATTGTTCCCTTGGAACATAGGGCTTCAACTGCACGCCTCCACTTGCTTCTGTCTTCTGATGTACTTTTCATCTGCATCCATATTAATCCATATTGTTTCAACTCTTCTTCACACGATCTCCTCCATGTCACCCTTGCACTGACGTCCCACTCGCCGCTTCCCTTTCGGGTTTCACTCGAGCTATGGCCTGACGCGCGACGTCACCCAGTGGCCTCCTAATCGAGTGTCCAATCCATCTCCACTTTTTCCTCCATATTTGTTGGGCGATTGGTTCTTGTTTTGTTCGTTCCCATAGTCTCTTGTTGGTGATTCTTTCCGGCCATCTGATCTTGAGTATAGAACGAAGACAGTTAGTTGTTGATAAAGGTCTGCAACAGGCTGTTGGAAATATTCTTTGTGACCCGCCAAGTTTCTGATCTCTATAGAAGAACTGACTAACAAAGTGAAGTGTTAGTTTGATTAATTGGTTGACGAAAGGTTACCAGAGAATTCTAGGATGGTCATTCCATTCTATTTAAGACTCATCATCTAGATATACCGATGTCCTCAGTGAGTTATGCTGTTCCCACTGAGATTCGAACCCAGTACCCATCAAGTACAATTGCAAACAGTTGCCCACTAAGTCCCTAGACTATGAGAATCATCTGTTATGCAATGAGTATGAATTATTCTTATTGATTAACTCATACTGTAGGCAAAACCATTGAATGTGGTTTAGTAAATTACTCTTTAGCTTTGAAATGATGAGCAATAAGAAGATGTAATTTGCCTGAATCGTGTAATGTTATATTTGCATAACACATTTCGAACAATCTGATCACACACACGGACTTGTCATAGGAATATAAATGAAATTAATAAAGAGATAATAGTTGTTACGAGTTGATCACGGACTGATATCAGTTAGAGAACCATTGAAAACCAGGGAGTACTGGACAGCTGCTGCTTCATCCTAGTGCTTGGGAATCATCGGCAGTACGCACCCACTGGGATTCGAACCCAGGACCTTCCGGTTACAAGCTAGCCAGCTCGTATACCATTCAGCCACTGGGGCCCAATTCAATGGCTCATGAATTCTAACTTCTACCAATTCGTGATTTAGCGCGACCCCAACCACTGTCGTTGGTTGATATACGAGCTTGCCTTGTAACCAGGAGGTCCTGGGTTCGAATCCCAGTGGGTACGTACTGCCGATGATTCCCAAACTAGGATGATACAGCAGCTGTCCAGTACTCCCTGGTTTTCAATGGTTCTCTAACTGATATCAGTCCGTGATCAACTCGTAAAAACATAACAAACCCTTACAAACCAAACCATAGAAGATAATAGTTGAGAAAACAGACTTAGGTCAAGTTAAAAAGACATATTCAAGGTCAAAATACTAATGAGGATGAATCACCAAACCAAGTAACAGAGGTAATAGTACATCTACCCTTATTGGTATCAAAACAAAGTTTACCGAGGAAGGTGGTTGTTTAGTGTGATGACGAATTGTTGCTTTGAACAGCATAAAGGTGGTTTATTAATATTATCACCTTCGTTACTATGTGGAATTAAACAAATAATAATTGGATCCAAGTAAACTAATCTGTATAAATACGATTGTACAGCTGCTTTTGAGAATGAAATTGCCGAAAAGATCGCCATCTTTGCTGAACTTCTTGTTATTTTCAAACGTTATGTAGTTTAAAACAATTAGTCCCTTTGATTAATTTGAATAAGGCACTGAGAAGACAAACTTCCCGAGATGATATCATCAGTTCGTAGTTTCTTTACAACTGCATTACAACTAACATGGTTAACAACAGTAAAATAAAGTTCATAACACTTACTCAGTTAAAAAACCACATCTCGAAAAGACAGCTTCTGTACCAAACAAAGCTATCTATCTTTATTAACCTACCATTCAAGGGTGACCAGATTATGCAGCTGACAGCTAACTCAAAGACTTCGGTCAGCCATCAAACGCACATTCTACGCTGCATCTCTTTTTCTCACTCACATGCCGAACATTTTCGATCCCTGTACCTACGATTAAAGGACGAAATTCTGCGGACTCTACTTCAAATTGTATCTACAAGTTCAATTGCAGCTGCGGTGACACCTATATAGGTAGAACCAACAGAATGTTCCAATGTCGTCGGAAGGAACATGTTCCAAAATGGCTACTAAATCATATAGAAAATCCCAATGCGATTAATCTGGATAGAAATCCAGCATCATCCATTGCAAAACACTTGTTAATGTCAGGTCACAAAATCAATCAATATTAATGACTGCTTCACAATTATTTCACATAACTCTAATTCAAGGTTGGTTATTGAAGGTGATGAAAGCACGCTTCGGGGATTAATCACATACAGCCTAAACTGTGTGTACAAAAATCAATAGACTTCAATCTTCACCTTCCATGGACAACATGACCTATCTAAATATGATTGGTCATTAGTATGTACTTTTGTTTTTTATTTAACTGAGTAATTGTCATGAACTTTATTTTATTATTGTTAACCATCTTAGTTGTAAAGCGGTTGTAGTGAAACTACGAAATGACGATATCATCTCGCGAAATGTGTCTTCTTAGTTAGTTTGCCGACAACCTGTAACCAATCAGTAAGATCCCTACAAACCAATACTTGAAAGATGTTATTATTATTATTTATTACTAATATTAAAACAGACATTTCACTAGGCAACTTTAATACCGGATAGGAATAAATCTTAGTTTAAAAGATAAGATAAGACTGCACTTACTTTTCATACCATGCATTCCGTATAATTGCATTTTGCATAGCTATGGGGAATTCACTGAAGGCTTCAACAGTTGCTGTCACAGCGACTAATGCTGTATGTAACATTGATTCCGTACGATAACTACTCGGAATGGTGAGTATTTTTACAGCATCATGTGTTAGATGTTTTTCTCGGTTAATCTAAAAACAGATCAATAAGCGTAAATATCAAAATAGTTTAGATCATCTTTTTGATTGTGCGTCGGTGGCACAGCGGTAGAGTGCTCACCAACCACGTCCACATGTGGTCTGGGGTTCGATCCTCGGTCACAGATGCAATTCTTTACCTCTCTAAGGCGGTATTAAGACCGATGAAGAGAGAAGGTTGGGCTGGGCATGAGGCTAGCAACCCCATCCCATGACCTTGACGCGCTTTTCAATTACTACGCTACATTCACGTAGCTACATAAAGCTCTTATTTCTGTGGAATTTCTTGCCAAGAAGTTGCAAAAATTATTGTAATTTTTTGCCTTTCAAACACTGAATCTGTGGATGTAATCTTGTCGACTGATAATAACTATAACTATCTGCTTGACATTTTGTGTCTGCCTAAAACTAACTAATATCTATAATTGTATATATTGATGGATTTACATTTTCAAGTTGACTCGAGTCAGTGAGTCTATGATTTTGGTATCATTTTTGTTAACTTTATCTTACTGTGATACTACTGCTTACGTTTTGCTTTTTTCTTATTGTTGTTGTCGCTTGTTGTCTTTCCTGTTGTGAATTATTTTCCTTAATTTGAAAATTCCCATTCAGTCATAGAAAAGAAAAGGCGTTCAGCAAAGAGTTAATCTTTTCGGCGATATCATTCTCAAGCTGTACCAACCGCAAATTTATAGTAATTTGTCTTGGCAACAAAAGGAATATTTCCAAAGATGTGTTAATGCAATTGTTAATTTTTGACAACAAATTACGTAATTTAGAAGGCGTTAATCGGTTAGAAACTAAAATAAAGTTACAAAAGTAGGTTGGTTGACGTAATCTAATTGCTAGGGTTCAATGAAAAATGAATGAGAGTCAAGTTAATAATCTGAGTAGAATTCACTTAAAAATAAACGAAAATGGAGTTAGCAGCAGTCGTCATGAGGGTAGAGATTTAATAGAGAGTGGGGGTAGAAAATAATGCAATTAAGAAACAGACAAACGAAGAAGAAAGAGGTAAGACAAAATTACGTATTTGGTGTTGAGATAGATCAGGACCATTGTAGATTTAGTGACTGAACAAACTTCTTTTGTATGCAGAGTTCAGGATTCAATATGTGAATTACCATTGCTTCTGCAGTTTGAAGAAGTTTAATTCGTACTCTTTTGGCAAGATTCTCACGTATTGTGTAGACAACTTTATTTGTCTGTTTCTTAATTGCATTATTTTCTACCCCCACTCTCTATTAAATCTCTACCCTCATGACGACTGCTGCTAACTCCATTTTCGTTTATTTTTAAGTGAATTCTACTCAGATTATTAACTTGACTCTCATTCATTTTTCATTGAACCCTAGCAATTAGATTACGTCAACCAACCTACTTTTGTAACTTTATTTTAGTTTCTAACCGATTAACGCCTTCTAAATTACGTAATTTGTTGTCAAAAAATTAACAATTGCATTAACACATCTTTGGAAATATTCCTTTTGTTGCCAAGATAAATTACTATAAATTTGCGGTTTGTACAGCTTGAGAATTATTTTCCTTTCGCTGGTATTGTTCTGATTGTTTTATTCCTAGTTTTCCTGGTTTTAAGAGGAGCAACCCGCAAGGTCGCTTCTCTGTAAACTATATTTTAATGTAACAATCCCCTTCTTAGGCGTGAAACTAGCAACACCACCCTGTAAACAGAGTTGCTACAGAAACTTCAGCACGATGAATCTCCTTGCGCCAAAAGAAAAATAAACACCACTGCCACCGAAACTTCAAGCTCCTAGCTTGAGGCTCTATGTTACACTGGGAGCATAAAGGAATAAATTCTTTCGATTGGAAAGTAGCCAATAACCAGTGTAATGTTTGTGTCTATTCCATTGTTCACTGTAGACAGAATTCTATCAGTTAGGTTTGCAGTGGGGCTACCATGCCACTAGGTAGCTTACCATCACTGTACACTTTGAATTCTTGATAATAGATGGTTGGAGGCAATCGGAAGGAATCCTTGAACACACCTAAGTTTCGTGCTAGTTGGCACTCACCAGTCAGCAGGGCGTATTTACAACCCTGGAGAAACTCATGTCCTTTCTGAGATTCTGGGTAACACGGGTTCGACCCTGAGAAGGGACATAAGTTCCTTCAATGTGGTTGCAGATACGCCTTGTTGACTGGTGAGTGCCAACTAGCACGAAACCTAGATGCAGCCAAGACTTCCTGTAGTCGATTGCCTCCAACCATCTGATATCAGTTAAGATCATCAGACGAATGAAGAAGAATATTTTTTCACTGAGTTATGCGATCATTTATTGTCTTGTAACCGGGTGGTTCTAGGTTCGAACCCCCAACAGTGAGTGAGGACAGAATAGCTGCCCACTACTACCTGCTGGACAGGCAGATGTTCTGACCAAATTGCAACTCTACGCATCATCATCATCGAACAAAGCATAGAATGGTAATCAAACCTACACCTCAACTTTAGAGACTTTGAGAAGGCCTTCGACAGCGTTGACCGCGAAGTAATTTGGAAACTACTCGAGTACTACGGCGCACCACACCAAATATTCATCAACCTTATTCAACAGCTGTATGACAACGGCACATGTCAAGTGATACACAACGGAAAACTCAGCGAGGCGTTTGGAGTAAACACAGGAGTCAGACAAGGGTGCTTATTATCACCAATTGTATTCCTAATTGTAATGGACTGGATTATGCGTCAGACAGTGGGAAACGAGGAGACAGGGATATCCTGGACCGACGGGAAGAATCTAGAAGACCTGGATTTCACGCGTGGATGATTTATGTTTGATGTCACACAAAATCGGAGACTTACAAGTGAAAACCGACAAACTGGTCGAAGAAGCAGCCAGCGAATACAGGACTCCAGGTGAACATAGACAAGACGTAGGTTATGAAAATAACCAACAACAACAACAACAACAGCAACATCCTGTGCCAATCACCATCAACGGGTGGGGTTTGAAAGAGGTTACTTCATTCACTTATCTAGGTAAGGAGCATTGTCTCAACTACATGAGGAACGGACGAGGAGGATGTCAAATCGAGAATCGGGAAGGCGAGAAACACATTCATCAACATGAAACCAATCTGGAAATCTTCGTCACTCAGCATCAACAACAAAATTCGGATTTTCAATACAAACGAAGTCAAGTCAGTCAGTTCTTCTATACGAATCAGAAAGTTGGCGGGTCACCAAGAATATTTCCAACAGCCTGTTGCAGACCTTTATCAACAGCTGTCTTCGTTCTATACTGAAGATCAGATGGCCGGAAAGAATCACCAACAAGAAACTATGGGAACAAACAAAGCAAGAACCAGTAGCTCAACAAATATGCAGGAGAAAGTGGAGATGGATTGGACACTCGCTGAGGAGGCCGTTGGGTGACATCGCGCGTCAGGCCAGTGCTCGAGTGGAACCCGAAAGGGAAGCGGCGAGTGGGACGTTCGAGGGTGACATGGAGGAGATCGTGTGAAGAGGAGTTGAAACAGTATGGATTAACATGGATGCAGGTGAAAAGTACAGCAGCAGACAGAAGCAGCAAGTGGAGACGTGCAGATGAGGCCCTATGTTCCACTAGGAACCCAAGGGAACAATAATAATAATAATACCTGCTGGTTTTCAGTGGTTCTTTAACTCATATATCAACGTGTACTCAAACTTGAAACAAAGCAAACCCTTACATTCGAACTTTTGAAAGCTTGTAATTCATATCTTTGATGTCTATGCAAATGAGTTTAATTCATTTTATTTCGCCCATTTGAATTTATTAAAACATTCCAATGAACTTTTATTATTTGCAATTAGAAGTGTTCTCTGAGCTGGTTGGTTTAGTTGCGGAGCTTTCGTCGTCCCCCTTCTGGACAACATCCGCCTTCAGCGCAATTTCTAGCATAAAGTGAACTGATTTAAATTTTTTCATGAGTGGTGATAGAATTGCGTCTCCCGGTAACCATCTTTACATCTGTATTGATCGTTTTTTATTGATTTGAATTTTAAAGTGAGCCAAAGTGGCCATCCTCTTCGATTCAGAATTCAGGAACGCAAATTAGCTGTGATAAGACATGATATATATTCTTTCATATCAATGGACATCAGTTTGATTGAGATAATGTTGAAATTTTAGACAGAGGAAACACCAAAAAAGCCAGGGAATTCCTAGAAGCTTGGTTTTCAAACGAATATGCGATTAACAAACACGTTAATATAGACCAAATCTACCAACTAATAAAAAATAAATCACATATGACGAGAAAGTTTAAAATCCACGTCGATAGAAAATTATCAGTACACATATGTAAAGATGGTCACCATGAAACGCAATTCTATCACTCCTGGAAAAAATTTAAATCAATTCACTTTATGCTAGAAATTGAGCTGAAGAGGGATGTTGTCCAGAAAGAGGACAACGAAAGCTCCGCAACTAAACTAACCAGCTCCTCAGAGAACACTACTAGTTGCAAATCATCCACCTGAGCTACAAATGCTCTCTGTTATTTCAAGAACTTGTATTATTTTTAGAGTTTATGTCCTTTAATATCTTGCTAGTACTGTTACCCATATTAGAGGCCTATTTAAATCTGTGGGTTATAGCCTTTGCTCTAGGAAATTGATTTTTCATGCTCACTGGAGAACATCTCCCAGCATGGTTAAGTAAATGTGTAGTGAAAACCATCAACAGTTCGATATTGGACCATCTGGTGCAAACCAGCCACAAAGCAGGCCAGCGTTGAAGAATCCTTCTCTATCATCTACCGAGTTCCAAATAAATTGCCAAAAAATAGAACCACCGCATGACCCAAACAGCAGAGGCTATTGCAATTCACCTCAAACAACCAGTACTGTGTGTGTAGAAGAAGCAAGTCCAGCTAGCGACTACTACTGCCCTGGCCGGCCTTTAGTAGAGACTATAAATTCATGAATTTGTAATATTATCTTTCTTAATTTTCGTGACATTCAGCTTATTTTATGTTTATGCTATTGAGCTGTAATCTATCAATATTATTGATTCGGTGTTATTTAAACAACGACATTAATGTTGTTCGTGACACTAATTCATTTAATTAACTATAATGTATATTTAACTGTAGAGCCTGATGAAGAAGACGTTATCGAAAAGAGTATTCCTTGTTCAGTGACCATTCTTTTGAGAATCTAATTCTTACAAATCGACTCTTGAAGATTAATCTGATCCTCGCTAGTGACTTGCTACAGGAAAAAGTTTTCTAGAGTTCTACTGAGAACTCGTAACCAATGAGGTACACCCAGTGTGGGAGTGAGGATGGATTTCTTGCCTGTGACATTGGTCGGTAGTCGCACTAAAACGACGAATTGCTAGAAGTTAGAATTCATGAATTGGCCACTGAACCCGGTCCCAATGGCCGAATGGTATGCGAGCCAGCTAGCTTGCCTTGTAACCGGGAAGTTCTGGGTTCCAACCCCAGTGGTGGGTGCACACTGCCGATGAGTCCCAAGCACCAGGATGAAACAGTTGACCAGTACCCCCACCACCTGGTTTTCAATGGTTCTCTACCTAATATCAATCCATGGTCTAACTCCAATATAAATGTATTCATTTAATGCATTAAAACTTACCTTATAATCATATTTATTGAATCCAAGTTGTTCAGAGCTCAACCTATCTTCAATATCTTTTTGTAAGTCAACAAAAGTTTGTGCATTTTTACTACGTAATTTAGCATCTTTCAATTCTTGTATTGGTCTAAAATAAAAAAGACGGATGAAAGATTGAAGCAGAATTCAGTTGAATGCAGTCAAGTGGAGTGGAGTGCGGTGGAGTGGAGATGACAACGATGCCGACGAAAAGACGTGAATGAATTAAACTAGATTTGAATAACTCAAAACTCAGTACTAACGGAAACTAATCCTCTATTAAAGTCATTCACATAGCCTCTTCTTCGTTAGGTTCTACAGTTCAGTATTATACTAAATTTATGTTTAGATATTATCATTGGACAATCTGAAGATACACGGATCTTTACAGAACTGTCACATTCCAACAAGTACCAAGACTTTGTATCATCCCATCGAAAACCAATGAAACTAGATTTCGTCAAGTGTTTATTGTAATCAAGTCAAGAGCTTAACTAGTGCGTCTGGAGATTTAAATAATTATATTGAACGAATAGGGAAAATAATACAAATAATAAGGAATTCAGAGGGCTTGATACTTTTGTCATATGCAGAAAGAACCTCAGAGACCCTACGGACTATTCTTAATATCTTGAAATATTCTCATTTATAATATTAGAATAAGACATACAAAGCGAACAGTATTGTTGTTTTCAATTCGATCTTCTTCAGGCTTTACTCTAATTTACATAGATTTATAAATAATGGTTTTAACCAATGACGGTGATTTTCTGGATCAAATAATAATAATAATGTGGTCAATGTTCCGAACGTCAGTAATAACGATGATTATAATGATAACAAAATACTGATAATAAGGTTTATGCAGGTGGCGATTAGAATAACAAAGGTAGTGAGTGATATGTGTATATGTAGACAATTCAATAAACAAATAAATTAGGTCAAATCTTAAAAGTTACGCAATACTAAAGGTGAATTGGACAGGTAATCAGAGTTTAAATAAATATCATAAAAGTACGAAGGAAATGGAAAACAAGAAAGGGTGGGAGGGATTTTATTAGAATTCACCTAGGCCAAGGGAGAGACAAAGGTAGAACAAACTTCTTTCTTTGTATGCAAAAACTAGGATTGTTTTCTCGAATTAGATGTAGGTTTTCTATGGACACCTCTTTTGAGTGAACCATCCTTTTTAGGACAATATATACATTTCCTCAGTTTTATACCAATCCGATACAAAGTCAGTTTGGTCAGATATCTCACGAATGGCGCAAGACGCATCTGTACAGATGACTCTCTAGAAAATGAGTTAGGATACATCCAAAATACGCTGGTCCAAATGAGTTATCCTAGTAGATTTGTAAGGAGACACATGAACAGTAAGTACAATAAAAAGAAACTGACAACAGTTAAAAAGAAACAACTGTTCATGAAATTGCAAATTAATGGGGACGTGGCTAGCGAAGTCCTACATCTGAGATTATCGAGAGCGCATTTGATTGATCACAGTCATCAAGTGGACAGAGGAAGTGCCTTCAAAGTTATCTATCGCATTCCATCAAGCCTTTCGAACGGAATTCGAATCCGTCTTTTACACATGGCCGAAACTATAGGAATTAATTCGAGAGAACGATCCTAGTCTTTGCATACAACGAAAGAAGTTTGTTCTACTTTTGTCCCTTCATTGACCTAAGTAAATTCTCATCGGAACCCTCCCACCCTTTCTTGTTTTCCATTTCCTTCGTACTTTTATGATATTTATTTAAACTCTGATTACCTGTCCAATTCACCTTTAGTATTGCGTAACTTTTAAGATTTGACCTAATTTATTTGTTTATTGAATTGTCTACATATACACATATCACTCACTACCTTTGTTATTCTTATCGGCACCTGCATAAACCTTACTATCAATATTTTGTTATCATTATAATCATCGTTATTACTCAGGTTCAAAACATTTACCACATTATTATTATTACTATTATTATTTAATCCACAAACTCGCCGTCACTGGTTAACGTTTTTATGCATAAAGAGCTATGTAAATTAGAGTAAAGCCTGAAGAAGATCTAATTGAAAAAACAATACTGTTAGCTTATCTGTCTTGTTCTACTATTCTTAACATAAAGCTGGAATTTAAACCAACCAATGCATTCGGAAGCAAACGTTTCCGGATAAGGGACCCGACAGATCCAATTAAGAACACTAATATAAGTTATCATGTATCATGCAGTGACTGCGACGTTGATTACAATGGTCAAACTAGTAAATCGGGGACATTCAGATTAAAGGAACATTGCGACGTAGCTAAATCTCGAATGATTGAAGGTGCTAAGTGAAATAACCTGGTGAAAAGCTCGACGATTGCTACGCATTTACCAGCATGTAACCATGCAGTGATTTGGGACTATTAAAGTGTAATATATGTTTATATGAGTTTGGTCACGGACTGATATCAATTAGAGAACCGACCATTGAAAACCAGTTTTGGAGTACTGGACAGTCAGCTGTTTCATCCTAGTTAGGGAATAATCAGCAGTACACCTCGACACTATGGGTTTCAAACCCAGGACCTCCCGGCTAAAGGTCAAGCTAACTCGTATACCATTCAGTCACTGGGACCCAACTCAATGGCCAACGCATGAATTCTAACTTCCACCAATTCGTGGTTTTAGCGCAACTGGCACCAACCAATATCACCGGCGCAAATTCCTTCCTCTCTCCTGACTGGATGGACCTCACTGGTCACTACTTCTCACTAGAACCCCGGAAAACTCCGTCCTGTAGCAAGTCACTAACGAGGATCAGATTAATTTACAAGAATTGATTTGTAATGATCAGATTTGTTTATACGAGTTTGACCGTGGACTGATATGGAATTATGTTCCATCATGGTGCTTAAGCTTTAACAATAACTGAATAGAAGAAAGATGTTGAGAAGAATATTCTTTGTTTAATAACCACTGCATTCAATATGTCATTATGTATGTACAAACCAACTACATTTTTAACAGTCTGAAAACATTTGGACATTGGGTATAGGATATCCATTATAATAAAGGATTTTTTTGTATTTCCCAATGAATGAAAAACAAAACGACACTGTTGTTGTATTTACTGACGTTTCGCTATTTAATGCTGCAGCAAATAACTTTATCAGAGTAGTATTATTAAACCAGAATTTACAAAATCCACTAAGCTTATATATAACAACTGAATCATCGTTCATTAGCACGGGGTCATTTATGCTTTGGCAAGTTGCCCAATTGGTGAAGATAAGGAAACCAGGTGTAGATTTTTGGACTTGATCAGTGTGTAAAATTATAAAAGCAGCATGTCTTTATATAATGAAATTGCTTATCACATTCGTGTTGATTTTGCCACTTCGTGGGGTTACGGGGATGTTGTAACCAGGCCAAATTCTGTTTTAGTCCATAACTGCTTTTCAGACCATTTGGATTCCATTTGATATGAAGTGCTTCTGGTGATATTAGACGTTCTTTGTGATTCCTGGAATTTTTGTGGATTATTTCAATTTTTGTTGCTAGTTTGACCACGGATTGATATCAGTTAGAGAGCCATTGAAAACCAGGGAGTACCGGACAGCCAGCTGTCTCATCTTAGTTTGGGAATCATCAGCATTACGCACCCACTGGGGTCAAACTCGTAAAAAACTACTCTAATCCTTACAAACCAACTCTTGGAAATATTTCAATATTGTCAAAATCAATTTTGTGGCCTGATTCTACATCGTATAGACCTATGGCTGATGATTTCACAAGCTTTTCTAGTTCAACTGGATATCTCGGTGGTCGAACAGATGCTCTATGGTGTTCATTTCTTCTCGTCTCGATTTCCCTCTGGTGGTGTTTATCAGAAGAAATTAGTCCAAGCTCTACAACTACCGTGGACCTAGTTTGGTATGTTCCCTTAGCCTCCATTTTTTGTGTTTTTGTTATTTTTTCCTCGTTCGCTGTGTGTGATTCTTATTCTCTCTGTCTTCATTCAATTCATCCCATTTTATTTCCAGTTATAAAATCAGTTATCTTAAGTTTGTTTCCATGCTCCTCCCAATCACATTTGTAATCCGTTTAGAATAACCATTTTACAGATACTTTCTATTCCTGTGTAATTTTTTGTGTTTCTATGCCTCTTGTAATCTATATTCACACCTCCTAACATACATTTCAAGTTGAAAATTTTGATTTCAATTTGTTTCCATGCTTCTTTTTTTTAGACACCTGTAATTCGCTCTAATTCTGTGTGTAATTTTGTTTCTAAGCCTCTCGTAAACCATATCTAGTTGAAAATAATTGTCACCTTTTATTCGACTTCGTAATTATGTGGAATCAAGTGAAAAATTTGTATATATGTAAAATTATTTATTTAGGTGTGATTGTAAAGCTTTTGGAAATGAAATTGCTGAAAAGATCGCCATCTTTGCTGCACTTCGTGTTCTCTTATTTCTAATGTCCTAATGGGTATTTTCGACAATCTGAAAACTCTTTATATAATCAAAATACTGAGCCAGTGGCAACATGAATGCACAAGTGATCATATATGTCTTTACCCACTACTTTACATTACGAGTACAGCCTAGGTCTTCTAGCTCTCATCTATTGAAGTTTCTGTAGTTGTGGTGTTTCTACTGGATAGGGTTGATAGCTCCACGTCCAGACTTTCATCTTTACGCGCCTTACTGCCGGCTACGCGTGGCTGAGCAGTACGTTGGCTGGGAATCGAGCTCTGACAACGTGCCCAGTTGGCGGGCAATCTACCATTGAACCACCGATACCTAACTGACCACTGACGACTACATGATACTAACACAATAGAATAATTTGATTTTAAAGCAAAAATCAATAAAATTGCGACGACGCTGTTGATGACAGCTTACCTGATAAGGTTCAGTGTTGCACGTAACAGGAGACCAGCAATGAGTATGCGCTTTAGAGCTTTTATAGGCTAAAAACAGGAATTAACAGACAAGTAAATATAATTAGATATACGTCTATTTTCGCAAATTATATTGCGAATACTTAGAATATTTAAGAAACAACAATTCAAAATCAATATAACTTAATTTTTCTTTATTCCTTTACATTCCCAGTGGAACATAGGGGGCTTCAAGCTACAGGCTTGAGGTTTCGGTAGCAGTAGTGTTTATTTTTACGGGATGCAGTTGCTAGCCTCATGCCCAACCTTTCCTTTTTACCAGTCTTATTACTGGCTTAGTGAGATTTTAAAGGAATGCGTCTGTGACAGGGAATCGAACCCTGGATTACACGAGGCGAGGTTGGCGGGCATTCTACAGTTGTGCCACCAACACACCAATAATACTTACATGTATAGGATAAAAGAAAAGCGGATATGACCTACTAGAAGTTGATTTTTCAATCAGTCAGTAGTGGCTTTGAGTTCCGCTTCATTCAGTTTTTTTAGCCTCAGCCACTGGATAGTATCATTAACCCTAATACATTATATGTAGCTTTCGGCGTGGTACATGCAGAAATCTGCTTCTGATAACTAACTTCTCTTCATCGATTCCAGCCTTGTCTAAAACAGCTCGTGAAGACCTATCTTGCATGGTTGCAGAAAGATTGAAGTAGCTTCATAAGGAATGCAATGGTTGAACACCTTGTCAACACTGACTCAATCAATCTTAGACATATCACAAAATCATTGTTTCTATATTTCCCTCTCCTCAAATATATTAGTATTATTATTCCATTGGGTTCCGAGTGGAACATAGGGTTTCAACAACACATCTCTACTTTCTTCTGTTCTTTGACGTCCTCTTCAGTTGAGCTCATGATTGACCATAATCTCTCATCTCCTCATCCTCCTCCAATCCCACAATCTCCTCCATGGCAGATTGGCACTGACGACATATTCGTCACTTCACATTGAGATTCCACTGGAGCGATTGTCTGTCTGGTACACGATGTCACTCGACAGCCTCCTCAATGTATGCCTGGTCAATCCATATCCATTTTCTCCTCCATATCTCATGAGCAATCGGTTCTCGCCTGTTGGTTTGTTGATAGCCAGAGATTCTTGTTGCTAATTCTTCCTGACTGGATGACTGGCCGGCTGGCCACTTGATGTTCAGTATGGTGCCAGCCAGCAAAAGTCGCATCTGTTGATAAAAGTTTGTAGCTGGCTGTTAGAAATGCTTTTCGTGACTGACAGGCAGTGCAAATTTCTGACCAGTATAGAAAAACTGACTGACTAACTTCACATTTGCGTTGAAAATCCGAATGTCGTTCTTCATGCTGCAGAGTTCAGTGCAGAAGATTTCCCAACTGGTTTCAGTTTGATGAAGGTGCATCTTGCCTTCCAGATTCTGGCCGGCCTGCTTTGACATCTCCATCCGTTCTGACAGCCTGTAGTTGAGACCATGACTCCTCGATAAGTGAAGGAAGTAACCTTCATCAAATCTTTCCCGTTGATGTTGATTGGTGCCGGTCGTTGTTGCTGTCCCGGTTCGTCGGTGATCTTCATCACCTTCGTCTTCTTTATGTTCACCTACAGTCCTGTCCTCACTGTCTGTTTCTCATGACAGTTTGTTGGTTTTCGCCTGCATTTCTTCAAGTTTGTGTGAAATTAAACATAAACCATTTGCGAAATCCAAATCTTCCGCGTTGTTTGTAGGTGCGCAGCATTGGATAATTGCGACCTTCATTGGACTCTAGTAACTAATGTGAAGGGACATGAGTCAGAAGGGACATGAGTTCCTTCAAGTTTGCAGATACGCCTTCCTGACGAGTGCCAACTAGCACGAAACCTAGGTGCAGCCAATGTTTCCTGCCGACTGCCTCCAACTATTTAATATAATTGTGACCTTCATCGAATATAACTCATTAAATAATCTATATCATTAGGTAACTCTATCAACCTTGAGTTTATCAAATTCTCTTATGTATTGATGAATATTACCAATTCTGCCTAAGATGGCGCGTCTCTTTTGTTACCAACGCCTTCTTTGTAAAATAAAACGAATTGTATATAAATACGATTGTATAGGTAAATAGAAGGATGGAATCTTTGAAAAGGGAGTCTCTTCCTTGTATTCCATTTGTTTTCTTTTTTATCAAAGCTTAGATGGGGATTATTCATAAATTAATAACTGGACTGAAGAGAATGCAAGTTCCATTTATGTTGGGAAGAAATCCAGCTTCATAGGCGATTGTTTGTGATAGTTACACAACCGGATTTTGTTTCTCAGCAGTTATAAAGTGTTTGCACAAAACCATCAATTATATTAGATGGTAAGAGGAAGCCTTGGACTCAGGTTTCGTGCTCGTTGGCACTTGTTAGTAAGGTGTATCTGGAACCTTGTAGGAACTCATGTTCCTTCCGAAATTCGAACCCGCGTCACCCAGTGCTGCAGTTAGAGACGTTACCACTGAGCTATTCGAGCTCGCGACGGACCTCCTGTGGGACTGCAGTGGATAATTTGACTGGACACTAGTAACTAGAGTGACTGACTGACCAGAATGATAGAATTCAGTCTGCACCAAAGAAAGGACTAGACACGTCACACTAGTTACTAGTGTCCAATCGAAATATCCACTGCAGTCCCACAGGAGCTCAATCGCGAGCCCGAATAGCTCAGTGGTAACGTTTCTGACTTCAGCACTGGGTGACGCGGGTTCGAATCTCAGAAGGAACATGAGTTCCTACAAGGTTTCAGATACACCTTACTAACAAGTGCCAACGAGCACGGGTGATTTAAATATCGGAATTATGTTTCACTCAAATAGAGACAAACTTGTAGGTGGTACACTCGGCTAGCTAGCTGCTCAGGTAAACTCGTAGCACATAGCATCGCATTTCCAATATGTGAATGACACATTCAGAGTTGAAAGTATACCACGGTGTCCTTGAAAAACTGAAAATATATATGTCATTTTTTTAAATTATAGCTTGACTCCACACCGTATTTTTGGTACAAGTATGGAATTTTCAGCATGTAATGTCAGTAGCCCAAATTTTGCAGGCCGACCAATTGATATCGGGTGTGCGTCGGTAGGGGATCGAACCTCGGACCATATACATGGTCGACGAGAATCCTAACCACTGTGCCACCGACGCACACGAAGCCGGCAACACTCGGTATTCACAGTCGGTCACCCATGCACGTACTAACCGGGCCCAACGTTGCTTAACTTCGGTGATCGGATGAGAACCTCTGCCTTCAACATCATCATCCATTTGACACCATGAATGGCAGTCAAGAAAAATGAGCATACTTAACGACTGGTGTTTACTGTGAAAAGTTAGAAAACACTCAGGCTAAGCAGCACTGATCATCAGCCAGAGTCTATCATGTTCATTTACATCATGTCAATGCAAGGCGTCGGTGGCACAGCGGTTAGGACTCTCGCCGACCATGCACATGGTCCGGGGTTCGATCCCCTGCCGGCGCACACCCGATATCAATGGTCAGCCTGCAAAATTTGGGCTACCGTTATCACATGCTGAAAATTCCATACTTGTACCAAAAATACTGTGTGGTTTCAAGCTATCATCAAAAAAATGTGACGCATATTTTTTTAAAACTTACAGGAATTTTCTTCCCTAGATGTCGTTTTAATTTATCCGATGAATCTGTGTCATCTAAATATTCATCAGTATGACTGAGGTTGTCACAAGAGGATAGCCTTGATAGAGATGATGTCGGTGATGAAACAGTTGGTGCAGAACGTAAAGAAGCGTCATCCTGCCTTGCTTGATCACTCTGTCCTATCACATCTTTCTTGCTTATTTGAATGTCATTCATACGACTGCTGAGTGTGTACTGTATTGGATCTGAAACAGTTGAGTTTGGAAATGACTGTTCTACCTACCATTATTAATTCCAGAATAACTTTCTTTCTTTCTCTGGGATCTTCTTCGAAGTGTACCCCAATCAGTACTGGTTACACGTCGTCTAGATGGGTGAGAATGATCTGCGTGGAATTCAATGTTCAAGGACTCATCACCATCACCATCATCTTCTTGATCACATTCTTGGTTGATAATAAAACGTCTACCTGCTACAAGATCAGATCTGACTTCAGTGTCTTCATTGGCCTGTCTTTCTTTTGCCGTATACTCTTGTAATAGACGTGAACCAGCACTTTGTACAATCCGTTTTGGTTTACGCCAAAGGAATGGTGTAGTTGTTCTACGTCCACCTTGAATTAAAAATCGTTGTAATTCTAATTCCCATGGTGAATTCAAGCGTGTATTGATTGATTTACAAGATTGATCTGTACTTGACTTAGATGATGATGCTCTCGACAGGGATTGGTTATAGTGTTCAAAGTTTTTCAACCTTCTTAGTTTAACAGCTTCGTCAAAACTAATACGTTTTCCGTGTAAATTATAAAAATACATTTACAAAAGTTAACTTTATAAAAAAATAATTTTTTAAAGGAATTACTTATATTATATTTTTTTGAGAAAAATATTAATTTTGTGTTTAAATATTACTTAGTTTATTTGCGTTGGTATGGTTTTCAAATGACCTTAACGTATTTCAATCAATAAATGAATTTGATTGGATAATAGTAAAATATGAATTTTTAAACGATGTCATACGGATCAAGTAACCGAATATAGAAATAAATATCTGATGATCTCAGTGAGAATCAAGTTGATGGACCCAACAGTAGGATATCAGTTGTTGGGTCGATAAAACTAGATAATAGCTGGTGCTATGAGTTGAGTCCCTCGTTTGCTGCAGATTGAATTCTATCACAATGAAGTTTGAAATTTGGCTACCGTGCTAGGTGACTTGGCGTTATGGTGTGCTGTGAATTATTGTAATTAGATGATTGGAGGTAATCAGCAGGAAGCCCTGGCTGTACCTAGGTTTCGTGATTATTGACACTCATCAGTTGGCAAGGTGTGTCTGCAATCTTGAAGGGATTCATGTCCTTCTTGAGAATCAAATTCCAGCCATCCAGTTGTTCAGTCAGAGGAATTACCACTAGACTATTTGGGCTTCTGACTGCAATATTATACTGTGATTGGACTCTAAGTAGTAAGTAACTAGTGTCTTCAAATGTATGATGATGTTATTCAACACAATAAAATGATTAACTAGGTTGTCAGCAGCCAATTCCATATTAATTTGTTAATTAGATAGATCGCACAGTCAGTGAAACAGCGGTATCATTTAGTGGATATTGACGTTTCGAAGAAAATTTATTGTTTATAATCATATCATCAGTTGTAATCACACGACTTCGAAACTTGAGTTTTATAGTTTTCTTTGTCCTCTCTTATTTTTTGATGTTGGGATGTGGTGAGAGCTGTCTACTAGGCAAATTGGTAGACAGTAATTTACGTCAATATCTACGTTCCCAAGATTTGTCGTGAGAAAAAATGAACAAGACTGATTCAAAACCTACCACAGCAGACTTTGCGTAGGCGGATGCAGTTAACATATAGAGGATTTGACATTCAAGAAACAGTCACGAATAGATAAAAGATTAACTTTACGTGAGAAACAACCAATCAGAAGACTGTGTTTGTTTGCTTAACTGATATATTTTAGTGTACATGAAAATATATAAATATGCTTTGATTTCCTTAATAAACGATCTGTTGCCTGGCCCCTGTCTTCTGTTGTTACAGAGGTACTAGGATTTTCCAGATGTCTGTGTGGACAGGTATTGAGTCATTCCCGATACACGTGTTTGCAGTTGATTCGATAAACAAAGCTTCCGTTGTTATCACTCTCTCCCTCCATTCACCCTGCTGCATTATATTTTAAAACTGTAATCCTATCCCATCCATCCTATTGTATGGTTTTGTGTAAATGCATGTAGTGAGTGCTGTAGATGAAATATTCACCAGATTTCTTATCTTAATCGGGTCAACTAATCTACATTTCGCTGCCAGGATTTTGTGCTCCGCTAATATCAATGAGTGCACCTGTTCTACTACATTGACCTATGTATTTGACCTGACAATCATTCCAGGAGCGTATTAGATAAACTAAATTGTTTTGTTTTAAAGGCTCCACAGGATTGATCCCTTAACCGACAAAGCTTGTTTCTAATTGAGTTTGTGGGTTTGAATGCAAGTCACTTTTGTTCCTGCCAGCATTGTGACGAATTCTGCGTAAGGTAACCTAGGTTCCTTTCTTGTATGGAATTACTACTGATGATTTATATTCCCTATTGTTGGTGTTGTCATTATCCTGTGCATGTTTGACATGCATGTCGTCAATAATATTGCTACTATTGTTATTATCATCACTGTCACCACTATCATTGTTTATTTTATTTTTACATTTCCCTACATACTCTCTGACTAATTTATCAGGGTAATTATTAAGTTTCAAATCTTCTCTTGCATGCCTCTTTTCCTGTCTTATATTTTCCCTGGCACTACTTAGTTTTTGTGCTCTATTACTTAAACATTTCACCAATCCTATTTTTACTGAAATCGACTAAAAGACCCGGTGGACCCAAACAGACAAAATAATATAATTTACAAAATACCTTGCAATGAGTGTAAGATCAATTATATAGGTCAAACTAGTAGGTCGGGGTTAGTGAGATTGTCGGAACATAATAATTTAGCTAAGGTTAGAATGATTGACCTCGAGAAGATAAGCAATTTAGAAAAAAACTCAGCAACTGCACTGCATGCATTAACACAAAACCAAGGAATAAGTTGAGAGGGTTAAAATTCTAAGAAGTAATATATGTAGGTGGAGAGCGAGAGAGATTGATTACTGAATCCTTGTTCATCGAGTAGTCTACACCTAACACATGCAATAAAAGTGACTCAATGCAAATACCAGACATATACATGGAAGATATTATTACCACCAGTCAGTCAAATCAGAGGAGGATAATTAATAATATTAAAATTCTATTTCAATTCACGTACATAATAACACTCTAACAAGTTACCTATTTTGACAGTAAAAACACTCGTCTTATCTCCCATCTGATTGTATTTCATCAATAACACTCATATTATTATTTATGAATGTACATTATCCTATATTGATTTTTATTCAAATGTCTAATCATCAATTCTACTCATGTATATAAATGAAGCAAGAGAGTTGTGTGAGTGAGTGACTTGATATGATTATGAGTGGCAATAATTTGTGCTCGAAAGGTGGTCATCAGTTAATATTACTGTACAACGAACACTGTATGATTTATCAAAATGAAAACTTATCTATAATGGATTTGTACTCTACCACCACAATGCTGAAGTTTTGTACTTATATCAATAAGGTTTGAAGAACTTATCTGACTAATGTTGTTGTGACTGCTGTCTGCTAGCCAAATTGGTAGACAGTAATTTACGTCAATGTTTATGTCCTACATATTAGTTATGTGAAAACAAGAACAAAGACTGACTCAACAATCAATCAAAGCAGACTGTGCGTAGGCGGATACAGTTAGCATATAGAAGATCTGACATTCAAAGAAACAGCCACAAAGAGATGAAAGATTAACTTTCTGTGAGAAACAACGAGTCAGAAGACTGTGTTTGTCTGCTAACAATAATCTATAATAATGTACATGAAAATCCACAAATATCTGTTGATTTCCTTAATAAACGATCTGTTGCCTGGCCCTTGTCTTCTATTGTTACAATGTAACCGAACTTCACGGTCTGATGATGTGCGTGTTACTAGAACAAGGGAAGCATGAAATATCATGCGCATCTAGTCGTATGCAAGTCTGTTAGAATAAAACTTGAAATTAGAAAGAAGAGAACACGAAGTTCAGCAAAGTTGGCGATCTTTTCAGCGATTTTATTTCCAAAAGCTGTACAATCGCATTTAAATACATAACTTTACATAGGTACAATTTTTTGTACTTGCTTCCACATAATTACGAGAGCGAATGAAAGGTGACAATTATTTTCAACTAGATTTGGTTTACGAGAGGCTTAGAGACAAAATTACACAGGATTAGAACGAATTACAGTTGTGCAAAAAATGAGCATGGAAACAAATTGAAATGGTAACTTTCAACTTGAGATGGGGGTCAGGAGGTGCGAATATAGATTACAAGAGGCATAGAAACAAAAAATTGCACAGGATTAAGATATAGTTGTAAAATAGTTATTCTAAACGGAAAGCAAGTGTGATCAGGAGGAGCTTGGAAGCAAACTTAAAATAACTGATTTTATAAGTTTCCAGGCCGTAGGTGATACGAACTTCCTGGAATAATTTGAGCGCCGAGTCAGACTGATTCATTATAAATTATTTTATAACCGAAAAAATGGCGTGAATTGAATGAAGACATGGAGAATAAGAATCACACACACAGAGAACTACAAAAACGAAAATGAGTGAAAAGTGGAGGCTAAGGGAACATACTGAACTAGGTGCATGGTAGTTGTAGAGGTTGGACTAATTTCTTTTGAACACACAACTCCAGCTTTTCGATGCATGTGGTGAGGGCTTCTGCAGTACAGAGAAGTCAGAAAGACACCGCTTCTAGGAAGTTTCTGTTGACTTTGTAAATTACTTTGTATGAATCAGTTGAGATGTTGTGTGAGGTGTTGATCAGATGTTCAGTAATGGCAATTCTGATTGAACCGGTGCTTCCTCTTTGCAGCTATGCTGGGTAATGTTCTCTAACACGTTTTGAAAGGACGCGCATACAACGACCTATGTACCTAGATGCGCACGAGTAGGTGAACTAGCATGTACACATTGAATTGGTCATATGAGATAGTTTGTCCTTAGCGTTGTTTCGAAGTATTAGACGTCTAGAGAATGTCACTCTTAGTTTTGCTACAGGGAAGGTTTTCTTTAAAGAGCTCGATATTCTCCTCTTAAGGATATTGGCTGATGTCAGCAGATTTTTCTGATGCGATGGGTTAGTGAGATTATGAGACGTCGCTTTCGGCTCTAAGGAATCCAAGTATAGAAATGCGTTAGTTGGCCGTTCCACGTTGGTTTTCTGTGGCTAGATCTCTTCAGGGTTCTGTCACCTCTTCTTGTTAATTCCACGTCCGGAAATGGAATCTTTGAATAGTTTTCTAATTCCATTGTGAATTTAATTGAAGGATAGGAATTATTAAATTCTTGTAAGATACACTTGAAGTCGGAGTTATCGTAGAAGACTATAAAGATATAGTCAACATACCTTTTTTACAATAATAATTTGTTTATTGTTGATCTTCAAACGCCTGTTTCCAAACTGGTCATAAAGCAGTCTGCTAAAAGAGGGCGAATAGGAGATCCCATTGCAATTCCATCTTTCTGTCTGTAGATGTCGCCGTTGAAGGTAAATTGTACATTCAGCGTGCATCTCAGCAACAATTCGTTTAGATATGATGTTGGTATTCCGATACGTATATATTCGAGTTGTCCATATGACTGCACAGGAGAGACATTGTTTCTG